CAGGGCTGGGGGAAGGGGGCTTGAGGTGGTGGGGGATGACAAGATATTCTTAGAGGAGGAGCCCTGAAGGGTGGGGGTCCAGGAACCCAGGTTACTGCACAACTTTGATATTCTTATCCTCTTATCGCCTGGGGCAGCCACTTCCCCTCCACCCAGGGTCTGAGGCAGCGGTGGTCTGTTAAAGGAGCACTGTCACATTTCTGGCCAACTTGCTTGTGAGGCTGCCCACCCCCTCTTCAATCCTAGAGGACAAAGGGCACTGCTTTGTACATAACATTTAGGGGCCTGGAGGTACATAACACTTTCCAGGATGAGGGTTTCCTTTCCTGAAGAAAAAGATTCTAGGCAATTAACTGTCCTCTCTATGACCCTCCCCCATGACAGTTCTCTTCTTGTCTTGAAGTAGAGAGTTCCCTGAGGTCTGTGTGTGCCTGACCCCAAATTGAGGGACCCAGAGGACAGGCCCAGGACCTTCTGGAAAGGAGTTGTTGGGCAATTCTCATCCACTCCTGCTCCCCTAATTCCTTTCTCCTGATTCCAGAGCCAAGCCCACTGAGAGGCTAGGAGAACCTTGGGGAAAATGTGTGGCCCAGACCCACACTCTATTCCCTTCCCCCAATCAGGGGCCCTGGGATGGGCAGTTTCCTGCCTTCCCCATGGGGAAAGCGGGGGTGGCATGCAGGTGGGCGGGCCCCAGCCCACATCCGGTGGCTACCAGAACCTCTTCTTGTAACTTCTTTCCTTCCATTCCTACAAACCCAGTGTCACCCATGCCCTGCCTTAGACACTGATCCTCACCATTACTCTGCCATGCCCTCCTATCCCCACAGGCCCTAAGGAAGCATGAATACCTAGTCCAGTGCCAATAGGCCTACCTGGCCTGAGTTTGACTCCCATACTGTGCTGAGGGGCCAGGCCTGGTCTCCTGTGGACTGAGGCTGGGGTGGGGGGAGGGGTGATGTGACTTTGTGGAGTGCAGAGGGCACCTGACTACATGGACGGTACTGTGAAATGCTGGCCTAGGCTCCCCTTTATAGATTGGTACCCTGTGGCCTCTCTGGGCAGCATATAGAGGGTCTGAATGCTGCTGTTATCTTGAAGGGAAGCGAATTTTCTGGGCTGGAGCCAATGGGGATAGGGCTCAGAGAGGACTCCGTGCATCGGATGCTCACCAAAGGCCCTGTTAGGGAGTCCTTCTCTCCTGGGGTCACCCCCAGTGCCCTGAGTCAATCCCAGACTCTTGAACCATCTCCTGGAGAGAGTGCCATGGGGGGAGGGGGGAGGTCTGGGGTCCCGGAAGCCACCTGCCCAGGGTGTGTAAAATGGTCGCTTCAGCCCCCTCCCACCAATACTTGTTCTTGTCTCTTGTTTCCTGTCAGCGCGATCTCCCTAGGGAGGGGAGGGGCCTTGATCTCCACTGTGGTATGGGGGAGGGCCCCAAGACCGTTGGGCGTCCTGAGATCAGGCTCACGTGGTCTCAGGGTTATAAGCCCTGCCCGCCGCGAAGGGAACCCCACTTGGGAGCCAGAAACACAGGGCTCACTTCCCTCAGCTCTGCAGCATCAGGTAAGGATCCAAATCTTTACTTTAGGCCCAACTGGTCTCAACTCTAGGACTCTTGGGGGTGGTGAGAGGCTTGGATTGCCCTCTGATGTCCTGGGTGGAGATGCTTTGTGTAGGGCCTCTGGGAGCTCCGTGCCAAGGCTTACTAGCAGCTTGGGAGGACAGTTCAGTAGGACAGCACCTCAAAATCCTGGACCTTGACTTCCTTCTAGACAAGGAAGGTAAAATGTTTCCTGGCCCTGCGATTCAAGGAGAGGAGTCCAAGCCTTCAAGGGACCAGGGCTGGACAGTGGTGGTGGTGGTGGGGGATGGCAGAGTGGGTAGAGGCTGAAAAGAAGGGTTCGGTGTCGGTCGGTGAGAGGCGCATAGAGTCCCTCCACCCAACATGGCCACCATCTCCGTTTCAATAGCTTTAGGCTCTTGCCTGGGCAGCTGTTGGGCACTGTGGGAGTCGCTGGGCAGTGTGGGAGTTGGGAGGGAGGCCTAAGAGGGGGAGGGGAGGAGGCTGTGGCTGCCTCAGTTGAATTCTGGAGGGTGGATAGTGGGGCTGGGAGGACTTACCTAGGGGTTTAGAGTACTGGGGACTGTGGTGAGGCCACCAGGGTAGTTGTGGTCTCTACCTGAGTGTCCTTGGAAGAGGGGGGGTGGAGCCCCAGGGGGAAGGGGTGAGAGAACCAAAGAGGAAGTGGGGGGAGGGAGGTAGAGGAGGTCTGGCGCCATGCTGAGTCACCGCCCACAGGCACAGGGCGGGTCCTCTGTGGCCCTTGGGGCAGGGTGGTGGAGGTCTTAGGAAGCCTTGGGCAGTACTGGGGGGCTTACAAAGCAGGAGTCTGGAGGAGGAGCAGGCGGCTTGAAGAGTGCTGCTGACGGACAGACAGACAGTGCAGTCACCCATAAAGTAGAAAGCACTACTAACAGCACTGGAGGGTGTAGTGTTTCCTACTTTATGGATGAGTGTACTGTGGGCTTCGGAGACCACACCACCACCGCGGCCGCCATCTTCATCCACGCTCAGGATCTGTGTGACAGGTAAGCACTCGAGGCGTGCTCTCATTCTGCCCGGACCCCTGAAAGGCGTCCATTGCTCCCCATGGCACTGTCCCTCCTGGGTGCTGCCAGCTGGAGAAATGGCCACATGGGCCCCTCTGCTGCACGGAGGTTTGGGAGGGCTGGACGTCTGGACCTGCTGCAGCTGAGGAGAGACGCTGGCGTGGGGGCCGAGTCTTGAGCATACAGATGCCGGGAGGAGGAAGAGGAAGAGGCGGGAAAGGAGGGCGAGGGAGAGGAGGGGTGGTGGCAGGGACACCAAATGCTAATAAAGAATGAACTCTGCTTCTCTCTTGTGTGAGACTCTGTTGCTGGGGTAAAGAGGGTGGAATGGGCTAACAGTGACGTGAATGGGGGGGCACCTCCAGCGGCTGGAGAGAGAACGGTTCTTACTCTCCTGGGGGAAATGGGTTTGGCCTTTCCTATGAGACCAGAGGAGGGCTCTGGGCCTAGCCAGGCCACAGCCAGTGGAGAAAGTGGGGGCTTGGGTGAGGACCTCCTTGGGAAAGGGGGCAAGATAGAGGGATTCTTAGGCCTTTTACTCTAGCTCTGGCCCTGCCATCCATTTGCTTTCTATACCCCCAAAATGAAGCCTGGCTACCTTCGTTCTAACCTAAGTCTAGTCTAGAATAAGAACAGGACACAAGCACACTGTGGCCCCACACACAGCATCTGATACATAGGAAAGGGCACAGACTAGTCTACCAAGTGCACACATATACAGTGACATACATATGACGTGGCTGGCATGTCACACAATGACACGGGGACAGAAGCACACCCAGGACACATATTCAACAGTATATACACAGAAATTATAAAAACACACAGGACGTGTGTCCACAAAGAAGAGCACAGAAATATACAGTGACATTCACATACTAAATACAGGCTCCTATATATAAACAGTGGTTCCATATATATATGTATAGTCATACACATATAGTCATACATACTATATATGTACAATAGAGTGTATAGTCATTTATAGGAACCATTGTTCCTATAAATCATACATGGTGATAGACATGCAATAGCTACATGGTAATGGAGATATCTAGATATAGATAGAAGTAAAACTACATACTGCCATCCCACATATTTACATGACTATGAAAGTGTCATGTATAATGATACAATCACATACATCATCTAACATGCTTACATAGTCGCAGCCTTATACAGACAGTGGCAAGTAGACATGCAATGGCACACACAGAAACATACAAATGTATTTACCTTCAATTTGAAGATATATAACAGCATGCATACATACACACAAATGTGTAAATAGGTACATGTGTGTACATACAGAAAATATGATGACCCTGTAGACATTATGGAGATTAAATGTTTATTCTAAATATGCATATTATACTCATGCAAGCACATGCATATATACCCTGACATAGATGTCATGTAGTGGTGTGCATATGGAGCTACACTGCTTTAAGGAAGCAAGGATTCACCTTCCCATGCAGCATCCCCCTCATGGGGATCCATCAGTTCTGGCCTGGCCTGGGTGGAGCCAGTCAGGGGATCCCAGTTCAATGCTGCTGGGGTGCCACAGGAGGGCCTCTGACCTTGGCAGAGAGTGACTTGTGTGGAGAGGAACTGGGTGCCAGGTTGAGAGGGGACAGGGGCTGCCTCCGTGAGGTGCTCCCAATACTCCTATCCTCCCACATACGGACTGACTTGCGAATGGGAGAGTACACACCCTCTTGTCCCAAAAAGTCATTTCCCCATAGCAAAAAGACCTAAAGCTAGGCAGAAGATGAACTTCCTGTCAGTCTGGAGCAAAGCCAAATCAACAGGCCACGTGGTCTCTTCCCCATCCTCCGTTGAAGATGACCAGGCTACCCCCAAACACATACTGCCAGGAGGAAGATGAAGCATTTCTCTCAGTCTATTTCTACCTTTGTCTCTGTGCTTCTGTCTTCCTGTTTTCATCCTTTCTCCTGTCTCTGTCTCTCTTTGTTTCATCTCAATTCTCATCTATTCTATTTCTGCCCTTTCCTGTGACAGGATCTCTATCTGCTACACCATTCCCTGTCTCCATCTCTACCAGGCTGGGGCTGATGTGGGGCAGCCCTTCTGCAGTTCCACTGCCTCTGTAATCCAGAAGGTGTGTGTGTGTGTGTTGGGGTGGGGGTGTGGGCAGGATGGGTGGGAGGCCACATGTCGGGAGCACTGGGCTGGGATCCCATGAGGAACCTGCTCTTCCCTCTGGCCCGACCCTGCCGGCTGGTCCAGCCCATCAGGCCAGCGCCATCACCATGGAAACCAGCAGCTGACTTCCTATTGGTGGGCAGGAGGGGAGGAGGAGGGGGAGGAGAGGGCTGATTCTCTCCTGCTCACCGCCCCCACCACCACCCATTCCGAGGCTCAACCCTCCTCCGTGCCAATGCCCACCACCTCAGTGCTCCGGACTGTAGGGGACCCCTGCAGTACCCAGAGCTGAGACCAGCAAAGGCAGAGACTATGAGGCAAGGAGCCCACCGACCCAGGCCTCCTTAGGAACGACCCGGCTACCCAGCAAGCAACCAAGCAGCAGCGGAGAGAGAAGCAGGAGATAAAGGACCACAGCGAACCACTGGGGAGCATCCTCTTCAGCTCCTGCAGACCCTAGGCAGCCTGAGGGATCGTGATGGATAGCTGGACTCACAGACGCTGACGGACACACAATGACACAGATGCACACAGCTGCACAACACTGAGATGCTCGGAGACAGCCAGTGACAGCATCACACACTGCCACACTGCAATACAGACACCCACACACACAGAAACAACTGGTAACTCTGAAACAGGCACAGACAGTGACACACAGCCCCCACGACCTGCCGACACACACGATTGGGGGCAGCCATCCTCCAAACACACAGACAGTGCTGACCTGCTCAGACAGACCTGGAGGAACACGCACACCCCCGCCAGGGGCTGCTGTCAGTGGCCTCTGCACACCCTCCCCACTCCCACGGGGACACCCTCACTCCTCCACACACAGCCACAGCAAACGTAGCTCACATACCCTCAGCTCCAGCTCTGGCAGCCCCTACTTCTGCAGCCTCCTTTGTGGGTGAGGAAGAACTCAGCCAATCCTGGATGGCACCCCGGTGAAGCCACGAGCTCAGAGAGGAAAGGGTCTGGCCTGGCATGACCCTCTTCAGCCCCTCTACTTGGCTGGGTGATGTCCCCTGGTCCAGGTCCTGGGGCCCCTTGGCAGTACCATGGAGCAACTGACACCCCTCCCACGGCTTGGGGACCCCAGAGCTATGGAGCCATGGGCAGTACCCATATGGCAGAATTGGACTCCAGGCCAGGGGGGAGAACCTGGAGGTGCAGCCCCAAGTATTGCTGATATTCCGGCAGTTCTGCAGGTTGGAGAACTGAAGCTTGAGGAGAGCCCAGAGCCCAAGGGAGCCGGGAGCCCTGGGCCTGTGGGGGTCATTGATCCTGAAGGAACAAAAACTGGGCTGCCCAGTTTGGGGCAGCAAGCAGAGAGCTCCGGACCTGACTGCCTGAGACTGGAGGAAGAGGTGGTGGAGGTTTTTCCTAAGGTAGGAGGTGGAGGACCGGGGTCAGCAAGGTGGTGGGGCTCCCACCCTGCCCTCCGGCTTTGGCACGATGTGCAACCCGGTTGCCCACTTTTTTTCTCTCCTGGCCTGTCTCCGTGGCTCATTCTCTGGGACTGTCTTCCCTCTTTGGGCAGGAATCACATTTTTTGTCAATTTGTCTGTCCTTCTGACTCTGCCTCTCTGTCTACATCTGGCTCTGCCCCTGTCCCCTCCACCATCTGTGAGTCGCCCTGACGGCCTCTGTTTCTCCTTCCAGAGTCTCTGTCCTTGGGGGCTGGAAGATACTGGGGTTACGTGGAGATGTAGGGTGGAATCATAGTCTGGAAGCAGATTCAGAGAAGGGGGCTCAATGCCAGGCTGAGGCAGGGAGACCAGGCTTGGGGTGGGTGTGAGCAGTCTCCTGTGAAAGATGGAGGGACCAGGGCTTGGGGGAAGGAAGGGAGCTCAGGGGCCAAGGGGAGTCTGGAGGGGTGATGATGGGAGCTAGAGCTGGCATTTTCTAGGAGGGAAAATGGGAAGAATCAGGGACTTGCAGAGAGAACCCCAGGTTGGACGGGGGGAATGTCTGTGTGGGCAGGGAGGAATAAATTGCCCTCTAGGCCTCCCTAACTCTGCCTAGGACTTGGGGGGGAGCCTTCTCATTTCCATGCCTCTTTGGACTGTGGAGGGGGGAATGCTTCCATATGGAGGGCTCTGACTAAGCCTTGCGGGGTCCTGAGGCACTGTGTCCTGTCCTTTGCCGTGCCAGGCCAAGCTGAACATGGGCTTCGAGGACAGATCCAATCTGGAGCTGCTGAGAGCCCTGGGGGAATTGCAGCAGCGCTGTGCCATCCTTAAGGAGGAAAACCAGATGCTGGTGAGCTTGGAGCCATGTCCTGGGTCTTGGTTGGAGCTGGGGGAAAGCAGATTCAAACACTCAGGTTCTTTGCCTCAGTGTCCTTCTCATGCCATGAATAACCCTCCAGCGGAGGGCTGCATGGAGGTACCAAGATTCCCAAACCCCAAAAAGTCAAACCCCTATCTAGAGTTGCCGAGGACCCCACCGTGAGCCCAGGGATCCAGCCTAAGTTAGGACGAGGATCTGTTGGGAGTGTTCCCACATGCCCCTGTTCTGGCTAACCCCTTGTCAGAGGAAGAGCAGTTTCCCCGAGACGGAGGAAAAGGTGCGGAGACTGAAGCGGAAGAACGCGGAGCTGGCCGTCATTGCCAAGCGCCTGGAGGAGAGGGCCCGGAAGTTGCAAGAGACTAACCTGAGGGTGGTGAGAATGGGAGGCTGCTGGATCATCAAGGAAAAGGGGAGGCTTGGCCGGGCCTGTGGGGCTGGGGCTTGGGAGTCATGAACGCTTAGCACCCAGAAAGCAGGAAACCAGGTGCCAAGTTGCAGGAAGAGCAAATGCTCGTCAGGCAAGGAGGTCGAAGGTTTCTGAAATTACAGGAGGGAGGGCAGGGCTGGGCTGGGAGTTCGTGAGCAGTCAGGGAGCAGGATTCTGGATTACCACGTGCTGCTGCTGGCTGCAGCCTCCCGCTGAGCTCATCTCTGGGTGCAGAGCCCATGGGGGCAGGGATAAAGACCCAGCTCTGTGGCAGCCCTCCTCCATTACTGGCACCCTTGGGACCTACACAAGGACGTGGAGTTCATCTTTCAGTGGGGTCAAGTCAGGCTGCCTAGCCCCTGAGGCTCCAGAGAGGGTGGAAGCAAGAGGCCCCAACTTTAGCTTTTCCTCCTAACCCTCCTTTGGAAGGAGCTGAGCAGTGGGAGAAGTGCCCTAGCCCTCAGATGACCATCCTTACCCCTCCTCTGGTCAGGTGAGTGCCCCGATGCCCCGTCCTGGGGCCAGCCTGGAGTTGTGCAGGAAGGCTCTGGCCCGCCAGAGAGCCAGGGACCTCAGCGAGACAGCCAGCGCCCTGCTGGCTAAGGACAAGCAGATTGCTGCCTTGCAGCGGGAGTGCAGGGAGCTGCAAGCCAGGCTCACTCTGGTCGGCAAGGTGCGATGAGGCGCTGGTCCCCCTTTCCAACTCATCCATACGCAAGGCTGCCAGCGCGGTGTCTGGGATGTGAAGGAGATGTTAATGAGATGCAAATGCACGGGAAGGTGGGGGCTGCTGGGTAGTAGGTTCCCCTGGCAACGGCCCAGGTGGGAGCGGGGAGAGGGAGCCTGAATTGAAGGGGGAGGAGCCATGAGTCCCAGACCTGGGAATTTCTATGCTCCTGGCGTGAGGCTGTATGCCAGTGGGTATGTGTGTGAATCCACACATACCTCACATTTGTGGAGCGATGTTCACGAGGCATTTAGCCCAGTGCTGGGCACGCCGTGAGTGCCAGTAAATGAGTTACTGCGAATGTCTGTACTTGGGCTAGCAGCGGCATGTGGCTGCACACGCATGCACAAATGACCAGGCCTGTATGCATGGAAGGAGGTGCACGTCTCCGTGCATGGGAGCCTCTACAGCAAGGCGGAGGGGGGGCTCTGCAGGGGGTACCGTGGGGGGGACTGGGGTAGGACCTGATGCCCCTCCCTGCCCCTCCCCCCTAGGAGGGCCCGCAGTGGCTCCACGTGCGGGACTTCGACCGCCTGCTCCGCGAGTCCCAGCGGGAGGTACTGCGGCTGCAGAGGCAGATCGCCCTGCGCAACCAGCAGGAGCCGCTCCCGCCGCCCCGGGCCCCGGGCCCCGCCGCCCGGGCCGGAGCAGAGGTGCCGGCCCCCGGGCCCCGGGAGAGGTGAGCGCCGGCGCAGGGCAGCCGCGCGGGTGTGTGCAGAGGGCTGGAAAGCGGTGGCTCCGGGGCTCCCTGCGCCAAGCTCCGAGGCCCGAAGACCGGGTGGTGGAGTGAGCGCTCCAAGTGCAGGGGCCCTTTTTGGACCCCGGAGGCGGATTCGCCTTCCGGTGCTGTCTGCGGTCCCACCTGCCGGGTAGCCGCCCCGGGGGCTTGGGGTCCGGCCCTCCGGGGCCTGTAGCCCGCGGGCCCTCCCCGCCGCCCTTGCCGCCCCTGCCGCGCAGCCAGTGGTACGGCCCGGCTGCAAATCCCTGGTTGCCCTGGCAGCCGCGCGGGGCCCAGCCGGTGCCGCCGCCTCCGCTGCTGCCGCCCTAGCGCGGGACGCCCCCTCAGCGCACCCCCGCCCGCCCCGGGGTCCTCCAGGCCCGGCCCTGCTGCCCCTGGCTGCGTTGCGCCCGCCCCCGGCTTCAGGTATGGGTCACTGCCTTGGGCGCTGGGCTCAGGCGGCGCCTGGGCTGAGGGCGAGGGACCCACTCCTGATCCCCAGGACTTGGAGGTCTGGTTCGTCTCCCCTCTGCTGGTCTGCACCTGGGTCCACCTCCTTTGAAGAAGGGTGGGACCGAGTCCTCAGGGAGGGGGTGCGTCTCCCTCAGGTTTTGCCCCTCTGCCAGGCCCAGCAAGGGAGACCTCCATCAAGACCTGTCCTCCCCCAGAGCTTGCAGAATCAATAGGAAGTGCCACAGGGTGGGTTGGGGGCAGCCAGAAGGAGGATCTGGCCAGGTTTGCACAGCTCCAGAGACACTACTCTAGCTTCTGGATGATCCAGAACCCCGAACTCTGGGAACAACTCATCCCTGGGGGCCCAGGCAGCCTCCTCCTCCTCCATCAGTCACTGAAGGACATGCAGGACAGTTATTGAGTGCAGAGCAGGGCTGATGCTGGAAGCTAAAAAGGGAAAGCTTTGGCCTGGATAAGGGACCCATCTCCCCTGGCGTGCTTGGGTCTCTGGGTCTCAAAGTGCTAGGACTGGAGGACACAGGGGTGTAAGCTCTGCATTTCCATGTCAATGGAAATGATGGGAGGGGGAAGGCAGGACCCTTTCCCCTGCACCCCCCTTTTGTGAACTGGGTTCTCTTTGCTGACTGAGATGGGTGGGGACCTCCCATAGACAGGCTGGGCTGGGGCAGGCTGCCCTGTGGCCCTATTCTCAGGTGCCAGCCCCTTGCCCCTGGGCATCTCCAGGCCACGCCCCAGGAGGATGTGGAAAGCCCACCGGTGGTCCTAGGGGAGCCAGAGAATCAGCAGAGGGTACAACAGCTGGTAAGTCCCAGGTCAAGGGCTGGAGGAGACCTGCGTGGGCAGATCTGCCTTCCCACGTGAGAAGGCCTCGGTTCTGGCCCCGCAGGAATCGGAACTCAGCAAGAAGAGGAAGAAATGTGAGAGTCTGGAGCAGGAAGCCCGGAAAAAGCAGAGGCGATGTGAGGAGCTGGTGAGTTTTCCTGGGTGTCTTTCCCAGGCAAACAGGTTGGGGGCTCCCTCTCAGCTCCTGCCCCAAGAACACACTTTCCCTCCTATCCTGCAGACCTCCTTTCTCCTGGCTGCTGCCAGTTCCAGGTTGGGGAGGAAGGCCTTGTCGGGAGCTTGGGGAGAGAAAGAATGTGGGTGCTGGGCCTCCTCTCCAGAACTCCTCTGGTTTCCCAGGAACTGCAGCTGAAAGAAGCCCAGGATGAGAATGCCCGCCTTGTGGAGGAGAATTCTCGGCTCAGTGGGAGAGCCACAGAGAAGGAACAGGTAACCCCTCTGCCCAGGAGCTGTGGAGACCCAGGCTGTCTCCTCCAGCACCCCTTTTGCCCCCCAAACTGGGCTAGAGCTCCTGGTCAGGGAGCGGATGGGACAAGACTGACACACCCAGCTCCCTGCCACACCCCCTTCTCCAGGTGGAGTGGGAGAACACTGAGTTGAGGGACCAGCTTCTGGGGGTGACACAGGAGAGGGACTCAGCCCTTCTCAAGAGCCAGGGCCTGCAGAGCAAGCTGGAGAGCCTGGAGCAAGTGCTGAAGGTGAGGGGACTGTAAGCAAGGGGAGGGCATTGGTGTCGGGCCTGGGGGTAAATGAGGCAGTAAATAACTCTTTCTGGGGCACTGGAGTCTGAGGCTCTGTCCTGGGGCTGCAGGCCCTTTCCTTCTCTGGCCTCAGTTTTCTTTTTTAATAGAGTGCACCTGGGACACATGGTGGCTGAGGCTCCCTCACCTTAGATCTTCCTTAGAACAGAGTGGGGCTCAGGCCTTGACCTGGAGTCTTGTATTTCAGCACATGCGGGAGGTGGCTCAGCGGCGGCAGCAGCTGGAGGTGGAGCATGAGCAGGCTCGGCTCAGCCTGCAGGAGAAGCAGGAGGAGGTCCGGAGGCTGCAGCAGGTGGGGGCAGAGTGCCCGGGGACATGTAGGCTGCTGGACCCCGCTTAGTCTGATGGACAGTTACTGAGCACCCAGGTGTACCAGGCCCTGTGCCAGGCACTGGAAGAGAGTGGTGGTTGAGGACCAAGTTTTGGATCCCATCAGCAAAGAAGCAGATTCATGAGTGAGATGATCCCAGACTCTGACAAGCACAGGGTAGGGATTAGGGGAAGGAGTGAACAGGATGATGTGACAGGGTGACTGGCTGGGAAGGGGTGAGGGTCCCCTTTGGAGAGGTTAGGAAGATCTCTGATACCCCAGGGGCAAGGAGCCAGCTGAAAGTACTCCAGGGGCAGAGAACTCGAGCCACTGCAGTGTGCAGTGGATAGTATAGCAGGAGTCGGTTTCAGCCCAAGTGCTACAGGCCTTTAAGATTGGAAAGAATTTGGCTATTTTGTTCTCCTAAGCAGGGGAGTATCTTGGCCTGATTGTCATTGGAGAAGAGCATGTGGCAGCACTGTGGGGGGTAGGTTGGGGGGTGGGCTTGGAAGTAGGGCAAAAGGGTGAAGGGGCTCTTGCAGCGGTTGGGGTGGGAGGTACTGACCATCTGGACGAGGGTGCAGACAATGGATGGGGACACGGACAGATGTGAAGGGTGTTTTGGGAGTAGAATTGACAAGACACACTATGGGATTCCACTTGCGTCCCGGCTCTGTCTCCCATGTGCTATGTAAACCCTGATGGGAAGTGGACTTTCTACCCCCCAGGAGGTGAGGGATGAAGGGACAACAGATTGGAGAAGTAAAGTAGGGAATCCTGAGTTCTCTTTTGCTCAATTTGGGGTGTGTGTTAAACCTTGGGTGGAGATGTCCCTAGGACATTGGGTATGAGTCTGGAGTCTTGGGGACTTGGTCTTAAGCGATACATTTTAAAGTCATCAATGTGATGAGCCATGTGACTAGATGGGGATCCCCCCACCCCCAGCTTGGGGGACAGTGTACAGTATAAAATGGGTCCAGTGTTTCCTATGGCACCCTGACATTCAGAAGGGGTAGAAGCCAGGTCAGAAAGGCTAAGAAAGAGTGTCTGGAGCGGTAGGAGGGAACCCAGGAGGGTGGCCTGAGGCATAGTTCAGGGTGGGTGTTGGGGGGGAGTCCCTTAGCCACCTTCTTTCCACGTCCCTTCTCTCTTCCTTTTCTCTCTCCTCTCCCTTCCCCACCTTTGGCCCTTCCTACCCTCTCCTTCCATCTTTCTCTACCCCACCCCCACTGCTCATCCTTCCCCTTCAGCATTTTGCCTCCTCCCCTGTAGGCCCAGGCAGAAGCCAAGAGGGAACATGAAGGGGCTGTGCAGCTGCTGGAGGTAGGGTCCCGGGAAGTGTCCTTGCTGTCATGGAAAATTTAGAGAAAGCTGGGTTGGGCAGTGTGGGGATGTGGGGTTGCAGGAAGAGTCCTTCAGTGCCCTAGGGCCTGGGAGAATCCCCTCCATCACTGGCCTGTTTCTCAGGACAGGGCACAGGTGGCAGGGGCTCAGGGTCTAGTGGCAGCAGTCTCCTGCTGCCACCCACCCCAAGCTGCCTTCACCTGTAATACCCTTCTGCTTAGGGCCTGCTCTTGAGCCCAGGTGGGTCCACTTGGGTCTCCCCTCCCCTCCCCTCTCTGAGTGTGACCCACAGGGCCAAGGTGTCTAACTCCTCTGCATTCTTTTCCTGCTGCAGTCTACCCTGGATTCCATGCAGGTACAGCTTCCTCCCCCACCTCCTCGGTGTCCCTTCCCCTCCAGGCGGATGGAGCTGTATCTCCTCCCTCAGGCCCAAGAGTTCCCAACACTTAGGTCCAACAGAGGAGGGTGTGGCTGGTAGCAGAGCTGAGAAACCCTGTGGGTTGGGATTCCTGCGGGACATAAGGGCCGTCCCCATGTCGCAGACCTGCCGCTGTGCCTGGCAGTTGCCTGGGCTTCCTCCTCTAAAACCGAGGCACTGAGCCCTCGAGGAAATCCATCACCACTCTTACTCACAACCCTCTTGGTGTTGGGGCAAGCCCCACACTGGGGACTCTCCTAAAAAGTTCGTGAGCATTGGCCCAATCCTGTCACAAAGGTGTCCTCAGTTTCCATGTGGGATCTCTCTGGGGTCCTCTCCAAAGGCCGGGATTTGAGTCACTGTCTGGGGCGGGGCGGGGGGAGGGCTAGCAGTGGAGCTGAGAAAACTCCTGAGGTGATCCTGGTGATGGGGGTGGGAGTCACTCCTTTTGGCCTAGAAAGCAACCAGAAGTAGGAAGGGCCACTGTCTGGGCATGCTGAGGGCGTGCTGTGTGTGAGGCAGGCCCTGGCCCTTCTCCAGAGGAGGGCTGGGAGTGAAGATGCTCTACAGCTGCAGAACTTCAGTCTCAACTCAGTTACTATGAAGGACAAAGGGGCAGCCGGGCCAGACGTTGGTGCCCAGGCCCATGGGCATGGCAGATGGGAATGAAGCCCAGTGTGGGACTATCTGGAGTTAGCACAGGCTACACTGGGCGGCTTTGCTGGGCCTGGTGGCTCACAGTGGGTCTTGTTCCAGGTGCGGGTTCGAGAACTTGAAGAACAGTGCCGCAGCCAAACCGAGCGCTTCAGCCTCCTGGCGCAGGAGCTCCAGGCCTTCCGCCTGCACCCCGGTCCCTTGGATCTGCTCACCTCTGCCCTGGGCTGTAGTACCCCTGGGGACCACCCACCACCCCCCTGTTGCTGCTCTACTCCCCAGCCCTGCCGGGGATCCGGCCCCAAAGGTAAGATGGACCCCAGTGATGTTAGCCTGAAATCCCCACCTGAAGTCACATAGTAAATTAGAGCCAGGCCTGGCTAGAACCGGGCTCCTATGGGAAAAAAATAAACTTGTTGGAGTGGTTGTCCTGGAGTCTGGCCTAGGCTTCTGAGGCCTTCGCTCCTTCTGAAGTAAGACCTCTGTGGCCATGGCTGGAGTTGGCACTGGTAGTCCACAGCAGGCCATATGGGGTTGTGAAGTGCTGGGAATGGGCATCGGTCAGATCTGGTGCTGTCAGCTCCACTCACGTAACAGTGACTTGAGCATGCTGTGAAGCCTCTGGCATGGCTCCCTGAGCTAGGAGACAGGAATAGTTTAGTGTACCTCAACACGTTGCTCTCATGATCCTGTCAAATAATAATGTAAATAATGTAAATAATGTAAATCACCTCCACCTCTACTTAGTAAGTCCCCCTCCCAATATTTCCCTTTTTGTAAGGAAAACCAGCTATGGAGTCTCTGACCCCATATCCTAGAGGCTCCACCCTTGGTCCCTGGTCCCTCTTCAGGCCACAGATTCCAAACCCACACACCATCTGCTCTCTAGACTTTGACCTCCCGCCTGGCTCTCCGGGTCGCTGCACCCCGAAGTCTTCTGAGCCTGCCCCAGCCACCCTTGCTGGGGTTCCTCGAAGGACAGCCAAGAAAGCAGAGTCTCTCTCCAACTCCTCTCGCTCAGAGTCTATCCACAACAGCCCCAAGTCATGCCCTACGCCTGAGGTCAGTGGTGGGGAGGCGCCAGGGGTTCTGGCTGTCTTGGGTAAGGGGAATTTCCCAGGAATTGGGTGGATTCTTTGTTGTGGGCCTTCTCCAGGGCCTGCCTGAATGAAGGCCCCATCATGGGGCCTCCCAACCCCACCCCTCTGGGGCCCAGAGAGGCCCTGGAGTCCTGGGCGGGGTGGAAGAAGACACTTTGGCGTTGGTATCCACATAATGAGGCCATGAGAGCGTCTGTGGCAGCAGCAGATGGTTGTGTGAGAAAGAGCATGGGTAGCGGGATTCAAATCCCACCTCTTACTTAGGCAAGCCACTCGCTCTTTCTGGGCTTGTTTCCTTTCTGGATTTTGGAGCTAATAAAATCTGCCTTATAAGGCTGTTGTGAAGATTATGTGATAAAACATAAGGAAAGTGCTCTGGGACACATAGTGGATGGTTAACCATGGCAGCTATCATGATTACCAAATTTCTGGGTGTCACAACTCCTCACATCACCTCACCCCTCTCTACTTCCCAACCCCCAGAAAGTGGCGGCGGCCAGTCAGCAGCTCTGCTCTCCAAGAACCAGCCCCAGGCCTGTACTGCCCCCTTGTGGGATAGAATGGTGGTACTGTGGTGGAGGCGTTGCCGGCTACCCGCTTAGGCCCCTGCTCACAGGAACTCCTCAGCCTCTTCTGTCTCCTTGCTGCCAGCTCTTTACACTTGAACCCTTTGATGCATTTTTGCCTGGAGGAGATAGACTGCCACTGGCTGCCCACTACGCTAGTGAATTGGCACATTTCTGAGGGAAAGTGGTCTTACTTGCTGACTGGTACAATAGAGGCCAGAACTGGGGGAGGGATCCAGGTTACCCCAACTTCCCCTACCCAGGGCATCTGGGCTCTGCCAGAACCTGCTGGCTTAGGTGCCAATTTAGAAAACACCTGGGCCTCATGGGCTTGCTTTACTTGCTTGAAGCTGTAAGTCCTCCTTTGGCCAAGACTGGAAACCTCCTGCTTTGCCATTGGTCCTGGGTCCTGGAGAGGAACTGGCCCTTTCTCTTTGCCTCCAGGTGGACACAGCCAGCGAGGTGGAGGAACTGGAGGTGGACAGTGTCTCCCTGCTTCCCGCTGCTTCGGAGGGCAGCCAGGGAGGAGCCAGGATTCAGGTCTTCCTAGCACGCTATAGGTGAGCCCCATACCCTTGCTTCTATCTCCAGCATTTGGGGTGCATGGGCAGAAATGGAGGGTAGGGCATAGGAATCCCACTTGGACATATAGGGATGCCCACCTAATCTAATTGGGCTAGGGGGCGCTCAGTGAGTATTCTACTTGGCTGTAAGTGGATAATAGGTCCTAATAAATATCTAATGCAGACCAGAGAGGGAGGTGGGATGTAAGTCTCTGTCCTCCTCCCCTGCGCCTCCCCCAACAGCTACAACCCCTTCGAGGGCCCCAATGAGAATCCAGAGGCAGAGCTTCCACTCACTGCCGGCGAGTACATCTACATCTATGGCAACATGGATGAGGATGGCTTTTTTGAAGGTAGGAAGGTAGCAGGCTCATTCCCCTGCTTTTAAGATCCTCTTCCCTACCCATCTTTCCCTCTCCATAGCATGCTTAGCCCACCCAGACTTTTCAGACTCAGCTTCAAGGCCTACAGAGACTTGGCAGCCCCTGGGAAAAGGGAAGACAGGTATCTGCTTGGGTCCGCCCCGAGCAGGCAGTACAGGACCTACCACTGTCCACATGGTGGACAGAGTGTCACAGTGAATTATGCCTGATCTCACCTTGTGCTGGCAGCTAGGCCATGGCGGTGTTTACTCTAGTGCTGAGAGGTCAGACATGTAGCATAGAGCTGATGCTGGACTCCAGGCAGAGAGGAGGAGGAATCAGAGCCCAGGAAAGGGTGTTAGTAAGGGGTTAGCAGTTGTGGGGGTTTGGGAGGGCCATGGGCTAAGGGAAGTTGGGAGAAGGCTCATTACTAACATTGGGCAATAGGGTGGGACCTGCAGAAGAAATGGTGTTGGGAGACACCCTAGGCTGGCCCTGGTTGAGGACCAGACTGTATCCTTCAGCAGCAGGGAAGCTGGCACTGTGTGGAGACTGGCATGAGGTATAGACAGGGCAGGGAGAGAGCTGTAACTAGAGATTTAGGACAGGCTAGATCTTGGTCTGTATCACCCAAAGCTTTGGGTCTGTGAGGCCAGGCATTCCCTGGACCCTATGTCTGTTATTTGAGTTGCTGCTGGGAATAATGGAAAACAGCTTTAAATAGCTACCAGAAAACCAAGTTATTGTTGATAATTATTATTATTATTATTATTATTATTTTAATAAAAAAGACAAAACCAAACCCTACACCTTTTCTTTTGGAGGGGGGCCGCAAAAATATGAGTATCAACTAACATCAGTTTACTAGAATTTGACTGTACAGTATGGGTTAGATTTATAGGCATGCAGACAACTGAGTGGAGTATGCTTTATTCCTCATCAAACTTTAGCTAAAAAACTAGCTCACACTACCTCAAGTGGCACCTGGACTGTTCTCTGGGTGGTTGGGAACTTCGGGAACATGTACCTGACTGCAGCCCAGGCCCCGGTGCCAGCCATGCAGAACTGTGGGTTCATTTAGAGTGAAGTCTCCTGCCTGTGATGCCTCACTCCTCAGTGACAGTGCTTGTGTCAGTTTCCTGGGATGCCCTGGCAAATGGCCACCACCTGGGTGGCTTAAAACAACAGAAATGCACCCTCTCACAGCTCAGAAGGCCAGAAGTCTAAAACCAAGATCTTAGCAACATCACTCTCCCAGAGGCCTAGGGTACCATTCCTTGTCCCTTTCAGCCTCTGGGGGTTCCAGCTATGCCTTGGCTAGTGGCCACCTCACTGGGATTTCTGCATCTGCAGTCATATGGCCTCCTCTTCCTCTTTCAGTGCCCGTCCTGTGCTCTCTTATAAGGGTACTTGTCAGTGGATTTTAGGACCTACCCAGATAATCCAGGATGATCTCACCTCAAGCTCCTTAACTTAATTATTTCTGCAAACACTTTTTCCAAATAGGGTCACATTCACAGGATACAGGCTTTATGCTTGAGGACACCCACATATTGGGTGGGGTTTTACCCTTCAAGCCACTACAGTGCTTTTATCATCAAGTTGATCGAAAGTCCTTGTAGTTTCTTCAAGTTTCCTTCCTTTTTTTTTTTTTTTTAAAGATTTATTTATTTATGCATACAAGAGCTGGGGTACAAGCCAGAGGTGTAGAGAGGTGAGAGGATTCACCAGAGACAGAGCGGGGAGCAGAACAGACAGACTGACTGAAATACACTGCTGAGGGGAGCAGCGGGCGAGACAGGAAAGGTCTGCTGAACCATGAATGTGTGTTAGTTCCTGGCTGGGGATCGAACTCAGGCCGCAATGGCTGGTGAAAGCTTGATAGCTATGAAATTTTAACCCCTGTGCCACCAGGGAGTCCCCTTCCCAGAATTTTAATATGAAAGTTCTCCAACAGCAAAATTAGCTAATTGTACAATGAACACATATATTTACCACCTAGAATCAACAATTATTAATATTGTGTCATACTCATTTCATGCAGATGTAGGTGAAAAAAGAAAAGCAACTTCAAAGCTGTAGACATCTTGACATTTGACCAAACATACTTCCACATGCATCCCCTTAGACTCTGCACAGTGTCTTATGCCCTGCCAGCTTTAGCATTCCCTGGACCTTGCTAGAAATGTAGACTCTCAGTCGCACCCACATCTGACTGAATTACAGTCTGGATTTTAACAAACCTCCAGGTGACTCATATACTGACAGTTAAATGTTGACTTGAATCAATGTTTAAGATCGTCCATTAACCATTGCTAAAATGCTTTTATTGGACCTTTTTTTTCTCTGCCTCCTCTCTCTTTCCCTTCCCTGCTCTCCCTCTGCCAGGGGAGCTCATGGATGGCCGAAGGGGCCTGGTCCCTTCCAATTTTGTAGAGCGTGTGTCTGACGACGACCTCCTGACCTCCCTCCCTCCGGAGCTGGCTGATTTATCCCATAGCTCAGGCCCCGAACTCAGTTTCCTGAGCGGAGGTGGGGGTGGCAGTAGTAGCGGGGGCCAGAGCAGTGGGGGCCGCAGCCAGCCCAGGCTGGAGGATGAGGCTGCAGGGGATGAGCTCAGTCTGAGCCCTGCACCTGAGGGCCTGGGCGAGACCCTTGCCGTGCCTTACCCCCGCCGCCTGGCTGTCCTCAAGCAGCTGGCCCACAGCGTGGTGCTGGCCTGGGAACCTCCTCCTGAGCGAGCAGAGCTGCAAGGGTACCATATCTGCGTGAATGGGGAACTGCATCAGGCTCTGGGGCCCGGGGCGCCCCCCAAGGCTGTGCTGGAGAACTTGGACCTGCGGGCCGGGCACCTCCATGTTTCTGTGCAGGCTCTGACTAGCCGGGGCAGCTCTGACCCTCTGCGCTGTTGCCTGGCAGTGGGTGCCCAGGCTGGACTTGTCCCTAGTCACTTACGGGTCCACCGGCTGACAGCCACATCTGCTGAGATCACCTGGGTGCCCGGCAATAGCAACTTGACCCATGCCATCTACCTCAATGGGGAAGAGTGCCCCCCTGCTCACCCTAGCACCTACTGGGCCACTTTCTGCCACCTGCGGCCTGGTACACTCTATCAGGCCCGAGTGGAGGCTCAGCTCCCACCTCGAGGATCCTGGGAACCAGGCTGGGAGAGGCCAGAGCAGCGGGCTGCCACCCTGCAGTTCACCACACTCCCAGCAGGTATGCAGCTTTGCATGTTGACTGTAACAGCGGGAGGCCAGGCTGTGGGTGTCTGCAGTGGGGAGGCCATTGCAACTGGCACTTTCAGGGAAATGGTAACTTGGGCTGATGTCGCTGGTGGGGAGTGCTCTGCGCTACTGGGTCTGTGTCTCCTTCCTCCCAGGCCCCCCTGATGCCCCGCTGGATGTGCAGATTGAACCGGGGCCTTCCCCTGGAATCTTGATCATCAGCTGGCTCCCAGTAACCATTGATGCTGCTGGCACCTCCAATGGTGTCCGGGTCACAGGCTATGCCATCTATGCTGATGGACAGAAGGTATGGCTTGGGAACTCTGGCTACCTGTGCCCTGGGACCCGGATGTTGGTCCCTCCTTGCCTTGCTCAGAAGCCTAGTCTCCCCAACCTGGCACAGAGATGGCCAGCCCCTGGCATCTGGCATTCTGTAGCAGACTGGCTAAGAGCAGGGGTTTTGTAGTAGATGCCTGGGATTCAAAAACCACGGCAGCTCTGCAGTTATGTAGCCAGGAGGATGAAACAAGACAAGTCATGCCAAGGGCATAGCAGAGTGCCATTGATATGAGCCATTGTTGTCCTTATGTCCTGCCGTCTAGCCATCTCCACCTTTCTTTCCCATCCTGTGCTCCCTCCACCCCGCAGATCATGGAGGTGGCGTCACCCACAGCAGGCAGCGTGCTGGTGGAGGTGTCCCAGCTGCAGCTGCTGCAGGTGTGCAGCGAGGTGGCTGTGCGTACCATGTCACCCCATGGCGAGTCGGCTGATTCCATCCCGGCTCCTGTTGCCCCAGCCCTGACTGCAGCCTGCCTGCCAGCCAGGGTCTCCTGTCCCTCACCACGACCAGGTCTGGAGGCCCGACTACCCCCTGTTCCAGACTCCTCAGGGTCTGGAGACCCCAACTCTTTCCTCGGGTGCCCTGACTCCCAAGGAACTCGAGGGCCCCCAGGAGGCCCCCCAGCAAGCCTTCCCAGAGAGACGCTGAAAGGATCCCAAGAGGAGCCTCCAGCACCCTGCTCCCAGGTACCATGGCTGGGGAGAGGGGGAGCAGTGGAGGCTGGGAGAAGGGCTTTCCTCATCGACTCCCATTCCAGGGGGAGGTCCGGCCAGCTGTGCTGGGTGCCTCAGAGGACAGGAGGGCCAGTGAGTCAACCCTGGGGGACAGGGTTCCTGCCACTGCCACTTCCTCACTGGCCAAGGAGGAGGCTGAGTGGACAGAAGGAGAGGCTCACCAGGCACCCTGCTCCACCCAGGGAGCATTGGCCCAGAGTGGGCTCTGCGCTGAGACCTGCCACGGAGGAGATATGGGGTCTGGGCCGAGGCCCAGGACTGAGGTACAGGATTGGGGACACACTGTGCCACCTCAAAGAATCTGAACCTTCCTCCTGCCAGTCCAAATCTGCGTTCCCTTTTGCTGTCCTTTTCTCTGCTCTGGCTGTTTGTCACTTTATCTTTTCAGATTCCTTTTCGTCTCCCATCCTTCTCCCTTACAACCACCCCCTGACCCACCACCCCCATGTTGTGCGTACCCTTTGAGGGCATGACCTTCTCTCCCTCTGCCAAGGGGCCTCTTTTATTCTGCCTGTGGCTGACCCTGCTAGAGGCCGCCCTTTCTCCTGTCCTTCATCTTGCAGAGGGAGGACACAGCAGAGCTCGGGGGTCGTCTGTCGAACTCCCTTGTGGATCATGGTCGCAATTCAGATCTGTCAGACATCCAGGAGGAAGAGGAGGAGGAGGCAGAGGAGGAGGAAGAGGAGGAGAGGGAGGAGCTGGATTCCAGGACTTGCTCTTTCCAGAAGCAGGTCGCTGGCAACAGCATCAGGGAGGATGGGGCCAAGGTACCGGGGTGTGGAGGGGCTGCGGGCCCTAGACCTCGGGTTCCAGGGGCCTCTACCCCGTGTGTCAGCAGCTGCTCCGGCCACCACAGAGTGCCAGCAACATTCTAGGTGTGGCCTGGGCCCTATCCTAAGCAGCAGACAGGAAGTGGTTCAGGATTGGCCTCTACCCTCCTGGGAAGAGAGGGAGGAAGAGGAGCTCTTCCTGCACCGTCTTCCACTCCAGCCCCCCAGATGCAGCCATCTGAGTCCTTTTGTAGGGGGCTTCTGGGAGGGGGTAGGGAGATCTCTGCTACTTCAGGCATGACTCTCTCCCTCATGCTGCTGCCCCCCAGGGGCCCAAATGTCTGTGCAGCCTGTTCCCTAATTCTTCCTCTAGCCCTACCTTGAACATGCTGTGTGGCTTTGGGTTGTCCCTTTCTCTCTGGTCTTCCTCTTGGAGGAAGTTGAGGGAGGGCTATGGGGTTGCTTGCAACCCCTGCCCTCATTTGAGGGTAAAGATCATAGTTCTCTCCTCTTCCCATGGACCTCTCTTTCCTGCTGCTCCCCACCCAGCCCCAGACTGACTCCTTCTGTGAGACTGACAGCGACGAGGAGATCTTGGAGCAGATACTGGAGCTGCCCCTCCAGCAGTTCTGCAGCAAGAAGCTCTTTAGCATCCCCGAGGAAGAGGAGGACGAGGAAGAGGATGAGGAGAAGCCTGGGGCAGGCTGCTCTTCCAGAGACCCTGGCCAGCCTGAGTCTGCGGCGCTGGGGTTGGGCTGTGACAGCAGTCAGCCTCCAGGACCTGGCCCGTGTCCCTTGTCTCCTGAGCCCTGCGGGGTGGGGGACTGCCTGGAGGACATGCCTGGACTAGTTGGTGGAAGCAGCCGGTGGAGAGGAAGTGGCTCCCCTGAGAAGCCCCCAAACCGCAGGCGGTCCCCAGATCCCCGTGAACACTGCAGCCGACTTCTCAGCAATGGAGGGCCCCAGGCCTCTGGACGACCGGGCCCCACATGGGAGAGGGGTGGCTCTCCCGTGGGCGAGGGCACCAGGGGTGGACCAGAGGCTAGTGGGAGAGGGCGCCCACCCCCTTCCCGGAGATGCCCCCGTGGCCGGGCCCCAGAATCTGGTCTGGCCAGCTGCCTCTCCCCCAAGTGTTTGGAAATCAGCATTGAATATGATTCTGAGGACGAGCAGGAGGCAGGCGGCGGGGGCATCAGCATCAGCGGCAACTCCTATCCCGGAGATGGGGAGGCCTGGGGCACAGCCCCCCTAGGAAGGCCCAGGGGGCCTGTGAAGGCCAATTCAGGCCCTGGCCCCTACCCATGCCTCCCGGCCTGGGACAAAGGGGAGCCAGAACAGAGAGCCCGAAGTACGACTGGCAGAGCCAAGGAGCCACCCTCCTGGGTCCGTGCCTACTCCCCACCCTGGGCAGCCCCCTGCCTGCTGCCACCTCGCCTGGTGGTTCTGCTTGCTGCCCACCAGCTGCTCCCATTCCACGCTGCTGCCGCCTCCATCAGCAGAGGTGGGGCTGGGCCTCGCCTGCCTCCTCCCACCCGCATTCCACTGCTTTGCTGCTTCTGCCAGTCGGAACTGGGATGCACAATATTCTGTTATCATAGTCGCCGGGTGCCCTCCAGGCGGGTGGCCCTTTCCTCCACTAGCTAGTCACACCTTCAGGACCCTGACTCTGCTGTCCGGCCTCTCCCGCACCTGACGCTGAGAAGAGGCCCTGCTCTCACATGCTCTGAGATCTAGCCTTAGTCCCTCCCACTGCACTCACCTATTGGGGTGCCTGGAATTGGGGCCTCCCCTCCCACGCCTTCTCCCCTCTGGGGTCGGGTCTGACACCTCCAGCGAAGTTGGGTCAAGGCTCCAGGAGAAGAATGTTGTGTCCCTGCTCTGCTGTGCTGCTTACGCTAATGGGGGCAGAGCTGGGGGAGCGCACGGGTTCCTGTCCCTGCCTAGGCACACGCCGGAGGGATGGTGTGTCACTGCTGCCATCTGTTGCCTTCTCTTTGCAGGCAACAGAGACTGGGGAGCCCAGAGGGCAGGACAGCTCTGGGCGGAGGGGCTCTCTGAGGAAAGGGGGCCGGGCACCCAGACCCAGCACCACCCAGCTTGGTGAGGCCTGTGGGGACTGGGCTAGGCCGAGGCAGCCTTTCCTAACCCCTTGGCCAGAGCTTATTGTCACTGCTTTCTCCTTAACTCTCTCTGCAGTTCCTCTGAGGAACCCTCCAGAAGTACTGGCTTCCCAGGACCTGCCTGTCAGGTTCTTTGTGGCTCTGTTTGACTATGACCCTGTGTCGATGTCGCCCAACCCGGATGCAGGGGAAGAGGAGCTCCCTTTCCGGGAAGGCCAGATCCTGAAGGTGGCTGCCTCACCCTCTGGTCCTCCCTCCTCCCCACTTTCCTGCACTGGGGGTGGCGTAGTCATGCACGGGTGAGAACACAGCTTCTAGACCCAGATGGCCTGGGACTGGATCCTGACCCTGCCCTTCCAGCTGTGTAACCTTGAGTAGATTAACTCCTCCAAGCCTCTGTTTCCTCACTGGTAAAATGGAGACAGTGTTGGTGTTTGCCTCTCGTGGTGGTTTGAGGATGAAATGACTCCATACACAGAGTGCTTGCACTTCCCGGCACATGGTCGGCATGATTTAATAGCTGCGCTGTTAGCATCACCACTTTTATTCTACCTTCAAGTGTTCAGTGAAATCTTTTTTTTTAAAAAAAGATTTATTTATTTATGCATACAAGACTGGGGTAAAAGCCAGAGGTGTGTGTGGGGGGGGTGAGAGGATTCACTAGAGACAGAGTGGGGAGCAGAACAGGCAGATTGGCTGAAATATACTCCTGAGGGGAGCAGCGGGTGAAATGGGAGAGGTCTGCTGTGCCATGTGGGTAGCTCCCTGGCCGGGGATGGAACTCGTGCTGCAGTGGCTGCAGATAGCTACATAGGCTGCATCTTAACCCCTTGTGCTACCAAGGAGGCCCCAGTAAAGTCTTTTTGCTGTTGCCCTGAGATTAAGGTGATCTGGTCTGGGGTGGGCTGAAGCAATGGATGCGCAGTCAGGGGGTGATGATATGGAAAGAGCTATTATCTCTCATCCCTCTGATTCTGATTCTTATTCTTATTCTTGGTTCTTTCCTTCTATTCCCTATTCTGTTTCCTGTTGCCTTGCATATGCAAGCGCGGTGCTGCCAGGCTTGGGACCAGGGGCACAGGTGCTGCTAAACTGGCCTTCTGAGACTGGTCTTTGCCGCCAGGTGTTTGGGGACAAGGATGCTGACGGCTTCTACCGGGGCGAAGGTGGGGGCCGGATAGGCTACATCCCCTGCAACATGGTCACCGAGGTGGCTGTGGACAGTCCTGCAAGAAAACAGCAGCTGGCCCAGTGGGGATATTTGTCTCCGGATGTTCTTGTTGAGGGCTCAGGTATGACCCGCTCGTGTTCCTCACCCGCCTCTGGCCACCCCCGCTCCCACTCAGCCTGTTCCTGGATTATCTGTATGCCTGAGTGGCCTGGGTACTTCACTTGTCACCTCCACAGCAGAATTGCTGGGGCCTCACAGACAAAGGCCGGGGGGCTTAGCTTGCTATATTGAGTGGGCAGAGGGTCTCTGCTGCCGAGGGGATGGGCCTTGTGTTTTGGGTCCTGGAGGTCAGGGATGGGGGAGGAATGTGCTTTAAAAAGTTGAGTGCCAGAACCCCGGTGCCCCCCTGAGAGGAGACTCCAGTTACTGGCCTACCCCTTCCCCTGCCTCAGTTTCTCTCTTGCATCTGCTTGCCTTCTTGGATCAGGGAATAGTTCCTCTGTGTACTCCACAGCCCGAACATCTGGGCCTCCCCCCAAGCCCCGCCGCTCCAAGAAAGGTGGGTAAGATCCCATGCACCCTCGGGGGCCTGTGAGGATGAGTGGGGTGGAGGTGGCACTCTGGGGAGATGCATGTGGGGTTTGAGCAGGTTAAGGGAGTCAGGGCAGACCTTCACCCATATCCACCCTACCAGTGGGAGCTTCGTTCTTTTCGGGTGGCGAGTGGTTGGCCAGGACTTGTGTTCCCAAATGCAAATTCTGGAAGCAAGTCCTGGGTCCTTTCTGGGCCTTAATTCACTACCAAACCCAGAAGGGCTGGGCTGGTAGGCTTCTTGAACCTCCTTCTCCTGCTTCCCTGTGTGAGGGTGAGCATCCTGCCTGCCGTGCGCCACCCCTGCCTGGGATACGGAGGGGAGAGGACTAGCTCACATACTCATTCTCCCCACAGCTGAGTTGGAAGGCCCTGCCCAGCACTGTGCAGGTGAGGGACTGACCTGGGCAGGGAGATGGGGTGGGACAGCCTCTCTGGTCTTTCTCCAAGGCTACAACCAATAGGGAGGTGGTGACTAGGCCAGCAGTGTGTGGTGGGGGGTAGTCTAGAGAGTCCTGAGTCTTCTCCCCTTCCCCCTGCAGGCACCCCTCAGCTGGTCTCTGCTGCCAGCTTGAAAAGTCCCCATTCCATGGTGGCTGCATTTGACTACAACCCCCGGGAGAGCTCCCCCAATATGGATGTGGAGGTAAGGTCCCTCAGAGAGAGCCCAGAGAAGGGGGGCGCTGGCAGGGCCTCCCTGGGCCTAACTCCGTGTCTCAATCTCTCTACAGGCAGAGCTCCCCTTCCGGGCAGGGGATGTCATCACTGTGTTCGGGGGCATGGATGATGACGGTTTCTACTATGTGAGGACATTGGGGTGGGGAATGTGCTGGGCCCCACTTCACCAGCCCTTTCAGTGAGAGGAGGGGGGTGAGCAAGGGTTCCTGATGGGAGCCTGGAGGAATGGGCCAGGTCACTCCCACGACACTGATGTCAACCCAGCGGTTCTCTCAGAGGCTTCAGGATCAGGGGACTCGGGATGAGGCTTTTTTCTTGGTCTCAGTCTCACCAGCATTTCCTCTCCAGGGAGAACTGAATGGACAGAGGGGCCTGGTTCCATCCAATTTCCTCGAAGGCCCTGGACCTGAGACGAGTGGCTCAGACAGGGATCCTGGGACACCGCAGACAGAGCGTCAGGTCAGTGAGGGGCTGGGCTCCCAGCTGGGCATTTGCTGGTGTGGTGCTGGGGCCAGGACAGTGTTGGGGAGGGGAGCAGCCAGTGATGCTCCAGGTGGGCACTGTGGCCAGGGGAGCCACTGTTACCACCAGAGGGAGCCAGGCAGGGCCAGCTCCTGCCCAGCGGGTGTCCCTCTCTACAGAGGGGGATGGCTGCCACCTTCGTCCCCAGCCCGTCTGACCCTGCTGCCCACCCCCTGGGGTTGATGCTGGTGAGGGTGCCCTGTGGATGAATAGTCATAGCCCCAGTTTCAGGGACTCTCCCACCCTGCTGGATACCCCCATCTCTTGGAGGCTTTTAAAGCCAGTGGCCCAGCAAGGCCCAGCTTTCTGGGTTCTCCTTGGGGGTGGAGTACAATGAAGCTCCAGCCTCACTGGGTAGGGAGAGGATGAAGAGGCCAGGTTCCAACTGGAAAGCCGTGGGCTTTCATCTGCAGTAGTTCCAAAGGCAAAGGCTGTGCCAAGCGGGACCAGCCCCTGTGACCCGGGTGACCTGGTGACGGGGTGAGAGCATGTGGGTCTGTCCATAACCCTCTCCTCTCTTTGTTCCCTGTTCTTCAGAGAACGAGGAGGAGAAGAGTCCAGTGCTAGATGGAGATAGATATATGTAGAGAGAGCAACATGTAAGTGGGGCTGGCCCCCTATGTCCATGTGACCTCCATCCTCACATTACCACAATCAGCACACCTTTGTTGCTAATACTGCAGCTCACCTGGTTTTTTCCACTTTCTTTCAGAGAATGGGGAGGGAAACTTGTCAGATTTGGGTCTAGGGTCACCTCCTCTCTTGCCTTTGGGCAGTGCCAGCTGTCATAGGAGCACATATCATCTTAGTATATCATGTCCTTGTTTGCTGACTCTTTATATTCTATAGCACGTGCGGCTTATAGAATATTACATGACATCCACATTATAATACATCCATGTATTATGATACTATATGATGATGGTATGATAATATGATTATTATTGGTGGCAGAAAGATGACACTGTGTGCCACCAGTAATAATGGTCTCCGCACTCTTGTCCTTTGCATCCTGACCTCTAAGGGACCAGATGCATGATTTTACTTCCAATGCTCAGTTTTCTTTGCTGGGTGGGGTGGTCAATAAAATGGGGAATGAAACAGCTGGGGTCCTTAGGTAAGTCGAAGCCATTTGTCTCAAGGACTCTGAGACACCCCACCCCCCCACCATTTATTTTCCCAGCAATCCCTCCTGAAATGTTGTAGAAGAAGTCTTCGGAGGGGTGGGGAAGGCCTGGGCCTCCCCAGCTCCCTGTCAGCTTTTAGATCATCAGGATACTGGGTGTGGGGCCACAGACTAGCCTCTGGTCTGGGCTTGGTAGCTGGGTCTAACCAGGAGACCATCAAGCTCTGGTGGTAAGCAGGGGTTTGAGGGAGGCAGGGGATGGGGGGGCAGGGACTTATAGGCTGGCAAAAACTGACTGGGCTGTGCCACATGGGAAGTGATGATGGGGGTGTGGGAGGTTTATCCAACCTCCCGTGTTTAGGCCACTAACAGCACTGACCAGGTGGGCCTGTGGCAGAGGGAGTGGCTCAAGATGGTGAATGGATCTAAGTGGAGATCCAGTAAGGGAGAAAATGCCAAAGGAGGATGGGGCAGCCTCCAAGAGCTAGTGGGGGACGTGAGTGATGCCCAACTGTGAGTCCCCTTGGCCCCAAGCTCCCTCAGCCCTCTCAGAGGTCCCTCAGGGGAGAGTCCCAGTTTCCTCCCCGGTGCTTGAACCTGGCTCCATCCCTGAAGGCCCTGGGCACCACATCTACTGGGAGGGACAGGCTACGAGGTGGTGTGGGGACTTCCTCTCCTGGTGGCCCTGGGTCTTGTTCTGCCTTCTCTGGGAGCCTGTGACATGGGGGCTCTGGGGCACCATCCAAAGGTCAGTCTGAGCACACTTAAGCTCTGTCAGCCTTGCTCAAGTGAGAAGAAGCAGAACTGTGACTCCTAGCTCAGCGGTCCCTCAGCATCTTCATACCCAATGGCCTCCGTGCTCTGTGTGCAGGGTGGTGGACTCTGATTTTCCATGGGGGTTCTGTGACATGGGGAGCTAAAGGCACCTGAGGTTGCAGAGCAAAGGAATCCAGGTGGGACAAGGAGCTGGACCCTGACCTTGCCCTGTTCTCTCATATTCCAGGACTGGGCTAGCACAACACAAGCGCCCCTGGCACCCCCAGGCTGGCCCTGTACCTCTGGCCCTGGCAACTTCCCCAGGGTTGAACTGGGGGGTCCACAGGGCACAAGAGAGAAGGTGCGAGGTCTCCTCTCCAAGGGGAAGCAGCTCCTCAGGAAGTTGAGCTCTGGGAAGAAGGAGTGACACGGTGGCTCATCTCGCAGGCAGAAGTGGCCCCTGAGGCCTAGATCCCTCTCCTGTTGGGAAGGCCCTGGACTCTTCCGAGTTAACACTGTGGCACTGGGATGGGAATCAGAGACTCAGCGAAGGTCACATCTAGATGCATCTATAAGATGAATCCTCTGGATGGGCACCTTCCCCTTTCAGAAGGAGAAGCTGAAGCCCAGAGTAGGGCAGTCACTCGGCCGTGGTCGCTGAGTACCTCAGTCACAGAGCTGGGACTGGGCCCAGGACTCGTGACTCCCAGTCCTCTTACCTATGTCTAGTTCCCCACACTGTGCTAGTCCATTCTCTGGCCCTCCCCACTCCCAGATTGGGGGGTCCTGGAAGGACAAAGGGGCTTCTTCCCTTTTATGGCACTGGCTATCCTGATCATGTCTTCCCTCCCCTGAAGGAAAGTTTGCACTGGATTCTCCTGTGTCCCCTTCCTCACGGGCAAGTGGGGCGCAGCCATGTATATATGTACATACTCAGTGCCTCAGTCCAGCTTCCTCCATCTCGCTTCCACTGCACAGGCCCGAGAAGGAGAAAGGCCATGCCAAAGCGGGCCTGACCCCGCCCCATAGTGCTCCACGCCCCCCTGCCAGTGCAGCCTCCTGGCCCCTGTGTGTCCCCACCCCCAAAGACCTAGGGGGCCAGCAGGCAGAAAGCAGGAGTTGGGTTTGCCTTATTTTGCTCATCGGATTCAACTTCTCTTTTGCATCATTTTCTTCTGGCCCCTGTTGGAGTTCAGGGGCTAGGGAGAAGGACAGATTTATGTAGCTATTTTCATACATTCCCTGTTCAGAGTGGGGTGGGGGGCTCTCCACCCTTACCCTAACCACCCCATACCCCTCAGCTGGGTGAGTGTCTCTGCATGTTACCTTCCCAGTGCTGGGAGATTGTTTGACTGAACCCCACCCCCACCTTGGTCTCCAGGGGTGTGGAATGGGGGAAGCATTTGTTTAAAAAGACATTTTATTATAATAAAGTCTATTTTCACAAAATCTGTGCTGGGCTCTACCTGGGGCAAAGAACTCCTGGAGGGGGATGTCATTCTGGGCTTTGCACTCTTAGCTTTAGAACCTGGAAGCTACATCGTAGAGTGACTGGCACAAAATTAATGAACACCAAGAAGACCTAGGAGCTGTTGGGATGCAAAGGAAGCCATCCTGTCCTGCTCTGGGTTCCTCTAGACCAGCAAATAATCAAAAAAGCATCAGATAGATTGATATGAGAACAAACACAAACAATTTTTTTTTTTAAGATTTATTTATTCATACAAGCACTGGGTACAGTCAGAAGCATGGGAGGGTGAGAGAATTCACCAGAGCCAGAGCGGGGAGCAGAACAGGCAGAAGGACCGAGGTACACTGCTGAGGGGAGCAGCAGGCGGCAGGAGAGGTCTGCGCGCCACGTGGGACCCTTGCCGGTGGCCGGGGGTCAAACTGGCGCCACAGAGACTGGGGGCAGCTTCGCAGCCCAGGGCTTAACCATTGTGCCACCAGGGAGGCCCCAAACAAGTTTTTTTTTAAAAGATTTATTTATTTATGCATACAAGAACTGGGGTGTAGACTAGAGGTATGTGTGGGGGGAGGTGAGAGGAACCACCAGAGACAGAGTGGGGAGCAGAACTGGCAGACTGACTGAAACACACTGCTGAGGGGAGCAGCCGGCAAGACAGGAGAGGTCTGCTGCGCCATGTGGGTTGTTCCCTGGCCAGGAATCGAACTCGTGCTGCAGTGGCTGTGGTTAGCTTCCTAGGTTGTGTCTTAACCCTTGTGCCACCAGGAGGCCCCATGAGACTTTTACAGAGTTTAGAGGACAATCTGGTAATATCTATTAGAAATTTAATATGCAGGCAACCTGTGAGCCACTTCACAGTCTTTATCCTTGGAGAACTCTTAGTGTGCACAGAAGGCCTCTTGCTGCTTTACTTTTAACGTGAAAAAAGGGAATTCTAACCTTTCATCAATCGAAGAAGGGTGGTGCAACGAAAGGGTAACTCAGGAGTACGAGCCAACTGTGTAAAAAGTGGCATTCTATTCTAAGCACACAATAGATCTTCAAGATGTATGGTTGAATGAGCAAAGCACATTGCAGAGCAAAAAGTGTAAAGTGATGTCATTGATGGAAAATGTACAAATGGTGTATATAATGGAAAATGTACAAATGGTGTATATAAAGTAAAATGAATGTAAAGGACAAGGTTTGGAAGGACAACAGGAAAAAAATGACAAGTGTTTATGTCTAAGGAGTAGAGGAAGGCAATTGGAACTAGGGATGGTGCCATAATTTAAAGAATGCTTTAATTTGATCTGTGATGTTTTCATTTGATTCAACATATATCCAAGTATTACCTGTATAATTCAAAAATAATTTTAGAGAGAAAGCAAGGTCTTTGAGCTGGGCGCAATTTCTGTGTCTGAGTAGTCATTGCCTCTGCCCTCCCACCCCAGTTCCCATAGTCTCCTTCTCTCCAACCACACACACACAGGAAATCTGGCTGTAATCCCAACTGAATTGTTTCCTAAACAGCATTAAGAAATAACATTCTATTTGGCAAGCAGTCCAGAGAGGGCCCGTTATCCCACAGGCAGTTGGTCTTCACCTTGGGGGTGAGGATGTCTGGGAAAGGTAAGTGGGGAGAAGGGAGGGCAGTGTGCATGTAGGTGGTGGTGGTGGTGGGGAACCCTGAAATGACTATAGAGAAGTAGCAGTGCCAGCAGTGCCCTCTAGAAGCCACCCCCACGATGAGGAGCTGTAGGGTACTTTATGAGACAAGGCTTGGGAATATTTCCTGCAGCAGATATGTTCTTCTGGTTACTCTGTATTCTGAGAAGCCTTTTTTTTTTTTTTTTTTTTTTTAAGATTTTATTTACTTATGCACACAAGAGCTGGGGTACAGGCTAACGATTCGGGGCATGAGAGGCGTCACCAAAGACAGAGTGGGAAGCAGAACAGGCAGGCTGACTGAAATACACTGCTGAGGGGAGCAACGGGCGAGTCAGGAGAGGTCTGCTGCGCCATGTGGGTTGCTCCCTGGCTGGCTGGGGATCGAACTCGTTTTGCAGAGTCTGCAGATTGCTTCATAGTGCGGTGCTTAACCCATTGTGCCACAAGGGAGGCCCCTGAGAAGCCTTTTGAACTTCAAATACACCTGGCAAATACACTCGGGCCTGACAAATAGGCCCAAGGCAGGCAGCATTCTGCACTCTCCCCACCCCCGTGAATTTCTGTGATGTCCTACCCCAGCTCTAGGCCTCTGGGTACACTGTAGAGCGCACCCCCAACTCCACTGTCTGAATGAGCTTTCTAAAATGTTAACTGACCATGCATTTCACAACCTCAGGTGTCTTGGGAACCTTCAGGGCAAGAACTTCTCAGTAGGTGAGCAAGAGTATGTGGGCCTGCTTTACCAGTCCCATCCTGCCCCACCCTCCACCCCATGTTGAAACTGTCTGAATGCAGCCCACTTGTTTTGAGGTCTTTCGTGAGTCATTTTCTGGGTCCAGAATGTCCTTTCTTCCTTGTATCTACTCAGTCAACTTCTAAGCATTCTTCAAGGCAGTCTCAAGCATCAATTCCTCAAGAAGCCTCCCTCAGTCCCCCCATTATCCAAATGCTGATCTTTGATGCCCTTGGGTGCCACTGACTTGCATCCTGTGCTCCTGGAGGATGAAGCCTGCACTTTGCTCAGCAGGGCATGCCCAGTGGCCCGCACAGTTCCTGGCACATGCAAGGACCCTCACTGAATACATGCCTGAGTGAAAGGTCAGGGGAAAGCATGCAAAGCCCATCTGCTGAAGAACGCTGGTTTCAAAGTCAAGAGACCTGACAGCTAATTATTTCGAGCTGTACCACATTGCCCTGAGCCAAGTCATCTCCTATGGGCTCTGTCCTTGTCATCTGTCCTATGAGGGGCCAATATTAATGTCTCTTCCCTCTTGAGCCTTGATAATGCCCTAAAAGAATAAAAAGACAGTGATTGTCAGAGTTGAGGGTGGTGGGGAATGGGGGCTCCCATGCCGGCTGGTAAGAAGTGGGATGCAGTCTCCAAAGGCCTTTGACAATTAAAAATATGGGTATCCAAATATGCAGTGGATTTATTCCAGCATTTCTTGTCAAAGGAAACACTTGAAGATGAGACAAGAGATTTAACTTCACAGATATTGATCCTAGTGCTGTTTATAATAGTGGAAATAGGAAATCCAAGTATCTAACAAGAAAAGATTAATGAATAAATTATAGCATTTCAGATATTATGCAGACATAAAAATGAAGCAAGTCTATATTGACACAGGGATGTTCAGCTAAAGTGTTAAATAGAAGCAGGTTATAAAACAACATTTAACATACTACTGTTTAAAAATACATATTATATCTACATAGAGGATACTGAATTTTTTGATGGAGTGATTAGTGAGTGGTGGGATTATGGGAAATTATTTTCCTTCCTGCTGTTTATTTATGTGAAAAACAAGGGCAGACCTGAAAGAAAAAAAAAATGGATGCAAATCACTCACTGAATTATGAGTAATTTTGATTTATTTTATTTTCCTTGTGTTCTAACTTTTCAGGTATGAAAGTCTATTACATATAGGTTTTTAAAAAAGAATTTTCAAAATCCTACAAAAATTCTAGAAAATTCTGATTCACAAGGAGTTATTTGTCCAAGTTCAGATATCACACATCATACATCACCCTGGAATGGTCTCTCATGGGCCCCTGAGCTCTGCATCCCAGAGAGTGACAGGATCTCTGGGCACGGCGCACTGGACGGTGTTCTGGGTGTGTTGTTGTCCCTGTTCCTTGGCCAAGATGTGAGCTGGGCATAGAAGACAATAGTGAGTACCTGGAGGGTGGCCGAGGTAGGAGGAATGGCCAGACCAAACAGGACATGGGAGCCACGGTGGGCAGGTGGCCAGCCTGATGGGAGCCCAGGGAGACAGAGTCAGAAGCCATTGGGTACTTTTCCTGCCTGAGAATGTCAGTCCCTTTGCCAGTCTTCCTCCAGGGAGAAACTCCCCCTCTTCTATTTCAGAACATTCCTGAAGTTTAACCCAGTGCATTTAGGAGAAATGCACTGACCTTGTCCCAGAGAGGCCCTGGGGTTGCGCTGCCCAACTGATCACTAACCACAACCAGCTCTGCTCTCCCCTGGTTCCTGAAATTCAGGAGTCTCTAGCTGGTGTGGTGGACGGCCCCCTACTAAAATGAAAAAGAAAGGAGACTTGGAGAGGGACAGAGGAAGTTACCTTGGTCTTGAACCCATAATCCCCAGGGTCCTCCTTCCTGTGAAGCCCAACGGTCTCCAACCAGATTTCCTGCCTCTAACCCCCATTGAGAATGGGGGGCTGTCCACCAGGGCTGGCCTCAGAGGCCAGGTTGCTTTTGGGGTGCAGGATGGCCTCCTGAGGAGGTTCTCTTGACTCCAGCTCTCCCTTTCCCTTTCCCTCCTTCTCTGGATCACTCTGTCACACAATTCCTTGGCCTATTGGTTCCTGATTTGAGTCTCTTTCAAAGAAACCCCAGATACTCAGTTCAACCAGAATTTGGGATTGGGGTTAGTTGTCTGTAGCCACTGGGGACAATACTGGTCTAGGCATACAATAGGGAGCTGAGAAACTCTGGGGGTGGAGGTGCTAAGTCGAAGATTGGGGACAGTTCTGACCTCTTCCCTTTCCTGTTCTAATTTCCCGTATCAGGGACCTTGAGTTCTGGGCACCCGGGACATGGTGGGGGGAGGGAATTCAGTCTCTGGGGGCAGGCCTCTGTCTGCCCCGCCCCTCCTCCAACATGGAGGCCATAAAAGCCAGATCCAGCTGAGGGATTTTGCCAATGTCAGATAAACTTGGGAGGTGGTGTCCTTGGAGACTGAGCGACTGAAGCTAGCAAAAAAGGGGGTACTGTGGACCCCACCCTCAAGGTGGCCCAGATTCATTGAGGTGGGACTTGGGTATGAAGGTGGGAGGAGAGGATTGGTGGGACTTTCTTCTCCCAGGCGCACCAGCGGGCCTTGGACACTCACCTCGCTGGGCTTCTTATTGCAGACATGAAGCTGCTCCTGGCCCTTGCAGGGCTCCTGGTCATTCTGGCCATGCCACAGTCCTCTGAGAGTGCTGCTTCAGGTAACCATTCAGAAAGAAGGGAAAATCTGGTGTATTGGGGTGGGGGTGGGGGGCTAAAGTTCCAGGCGTTTCTTCCCTCCCTGCATGCCATGTTGGCTCTGGGGCCTGATGGGAGGTTTTGGGTCCACTCTTGACTTTCTGACTCCTGCTTTGGGCAGCTGTCCTGGGGCAGGTGGAGACCTCAGTGGTGCTGACCTGCATGGAAGAGGCCAAGCGAATAGTGGACAAGGCCTACAAGGATCGACGGGAAAGGTGGGCACTGGGTACTGCCCAGATGTGTACCAGGCTGCTTTTCAGAGAAAGAATAGGCAGGGTTTGTGGTTGTAACTGGGGACTCTCTGTCTGTCAGTGCTTGTGTCTCTGGGTATGAGAACATCTTCAAATGTTCTCCCTCCCATGACCTTGCCAGTCTGAATACCCAGGTCCATACCCTGTTTATATAGAGAGACTTTTCTGTCCACACTGTCCTGCATGTTCATCTCCTGAGCTGAGGCTCTTCTGAGTGTTTCTGCACCCCCTTTCTGGCCCTACCTCTCCCTTCTCCGAGTAGCATCAAGCAGCGGCTTCGCAGTGGCACAGCCAGCCCCATGGAGCTCCTGTCCTACTTCAAGCAGCCAGTGGCCGCCACCAGGACAGCTGTGAGGGCTGCTGACTATTTGCACGTGGCCCTAGACTTGCTGAAGGGGAAGCTGCGCCCCCTGTGGCCAGGCCCTTTCAATGTCACTGGTAATTTGCCCTTAAAATCCCAGCCCCTGCTCCCCTCGTGACCCCTTCTAGTAACCCTAGTTGCCTTCCCAGTTCCTCCTTCCAGTAGTCTTAGGGGCATCCTGGCCTCCTCTCCATGTCTTCAGACGGTTGCCCCAAACCAAATGTCCTCAGGGATCCCCAGCTTAGGGTAGGAAATGGGGGGCTTAGCTTCACAACCCCCTTCTCCTGGCTCCCAGATGTGCTGACGCCAGCTCAGCTGAATCTGCTGTCCAAGTCTAGCGGCTGCGCCTACCAGGATGTGGGGGTGAGGTGCCCAGAGCAGGACAAGTACCGCACCATCACCGGGCAGTGCAACAACAGGTGCGCCGGCTAGGGCAGGCCCGGGACTGGGGTGGGAGAAGTGGGGTGGGGGGCTTGTGGCGGCGCCCTGGGTCCCCGACTGGCCCTTGGCACCACCTTGTGTCAGTGCAGCCTCTTGTCAGTGCCCCGCCTTCCCCCACAGGCGCAGCCCCACGTTGGGCGCCTCCAACCGCGCCTTAGCGCGCTGGCTGCCCGCTGAATACGAGGACGGTGTCTCAGTGCCCTACGGCTGGACGCCCGGGGTCAAGCGCAACGGCTTCCCGGTGCCCCTGGTGAGTATGGCGGGCAGAAGGGCGAGGCCCGCCCAAGACCTCCGGGCGGTGCCCAGGCGGCCCCTGACGCTCTGTGTCCCGCAGGCCCGCGCTGTCTCCAACGCCATCGTGCGCTTCCCCAACGAGCAGCTGACCCGAGACCAGGAGCGCTCGCTCATGTTCATGCAGTGGGGGCAGCTGCTGGACCATGACCTGGACTTGGCCCCCGAGCCAGCTGCCCGGGCCTCCTTCACCACTGGCATCAACTGCGAGACCAGCTGCCTGCAGCAGCCGCCCTGCTTCCCCCTCAAGGTGCTGGCTTCTTCCTGCCCACTCCTAGTTGGCTGTCCTGAGGGCGCGAGAGGGCCAGGGTGCCTGGAAGTGGCCCCTCCATAGGGCCCCAGGTTTCCTTCCCCAGCTCCTGAGGAAGAGCAGCCCTGTCCACCCATGCCCTTCCTCCCCCCTTCCAGAGGCAGCCCCTCAGTCAGCTGCCAACCAGCCATAAACTGCCTCTCCCAGGCGGCTGTTTAGCTCCTGGCAGGTGTGATTCCCATTGGAGGAACCCAGTTGGTTGAGGACTGTGTTCAGCAGGGAAGGAGGAGAGCCTAGAAGGAGAGGCTGAGATAGGGAGGGGAGAAAGAGACGCAGAAGAGCAGGAACCAGGATGGGAGACAGGAAAGGGACAGGGAGGAGATGATGGGAAAGGGAAGGAAAAGGAAGAGGAACACTCCCCCCGAGCCCCCGCCCCGTAAAGACCAAATCCAGAGAACAGGGGAGGGAGGAACAGGCACAGAGGAAAGAGAGAAGAGAGGTTTAGGGGAGGGTTCAGAGAACAAATCAGCCCCGCTCCAGGGTACCCACATTCCCCAGTCCAGCATTCTAGTCATCACCCTGAAACCCAGAGGCTTTCTGCTGGTGGAGACTCAGGCCGTGATCCCTTGTGGGTCTCTGCAGACCGAGGGACCGGAAATCCTTAAGTGTCTGGGTTTGGGCGTTTGGGCTTCCCCCTCTGGTCTTGGGCTCCAGGCTGCTTCTGAGGTGGAATTGAGGGCCTCAGGAGGCTGGACTCACTGCCTTTGGTGAGTCAACCCAATCTCTCTCTGTCCTGCAGATCCCACCCAACGACCCCAGAATTAAGAATGTACGTGACTGCATCCCCTTCTTCCGTTCCTGTCCGGCCTGCACAGGGGGCAACATTACCATCCGCAACCAGATCAACGCGCTCACCTCCTTCGTGGACGCCAGCATGGTGTACGGCAGCGAGGACCCCTTGGCCATGAGATTGCGCAACCGGACCAACCAGCTCGGGCTGCTGTTGGTCAATGATCGCTTCCAGGACAACGGCCGCGCCCTGCTGCCCTTCGACAACCTGCATGATGACCCCTGCCTCCTCACCAACCGCTCCGTGAACATCCCCTGCTTCCTGGCAGGTCAGCCTGGGGAGGGGGCCTGGTGTGGGGCAGGGGTGGTCCTTGCTGGAGTGACAGGGAGCCTGTTTCTGAGTAACTCATGTGAGATGTTGTCCTCACCAGCTTCATGAGAGTAATACTGTTGCCTTGGTGATGAGTTGAGCCCAGAAGGCAAAACCAAATCAAAGGCCCAAAGCCCAAATTTAAGAAGGAGGCTCACAGATGACAAAGGGGCCTCTGTCCATCTGCCCATCCTTTGCTCTGTCTCTCTGTTTCCCTCCAGACTCTAGCAGAGAGGAGAGTTTAGTTCCCCAGGGAGTAGGAACTAAAAGGACTGAGGGCAATGTAGCGCCCTCATTCTCTAGAGCTGTGGTTTTTAATATGGTAATCACTAGTCATTCACATGTTTTAAGTTTTTCATTTAAACTTAAAAGTGCACAGACACTGTCTCAACTATATCCCCAGGACTGCCAGTTTTTTATCCTACCACCACCAGTGTTTTTTTCTTAAAGGTTTGTTTTATTTATTTATGCATACAAGAGCTGGGGTGTAGGCCAGAGGAGTGGGGTGTCAGAGGATTCACCAGAGACAGAATGGGGAGCAGAACAGGTGGATTGACTGAAATACACTGCTGAGGGGAGCAGTAGGTGAGACAGGAGAGGTCTGCTGTACCATGTGGGTCACCTTCCTGGCTGGAGATCAAACCCGTGCCACAGTGGCTGCCAATAGCTTCATAGTGGTGAGACTTAACCCCCTGCACCACCAGGGAGGCCCCAAGTTTCCAGTGTTTTTGATGAAACCAAAATCCCTCTGGCTTCCCTCCCTTTCCTCCTGGTTATCCCTTCCCTGGCTGGACACTGGGGAAGAGAATCAAGGTTATGTATGTTGTTCTGGGCTAGTGGGGAGGAGTTGTATTCAGTCAGTCATGGTTGCCCCCACCTAGCATTAAGTGGCATGTCCCAGAACTGGATCATCATGACTGCTGGCAACTTAGGCAACAGCAAGCTGCTCTCAGAGTTTCCTTCTCATCAACCTCTAGACCTGATGAGAACTGAATCTTGTGTCCTTCTGAAATGGTCCTGACCTTAATTATCTGGCACGCTAGAGAAGGATTTGGGGAAAGACCAGAGAGATTGGGGTGGGGGAGTGTCTCACTCAATCCTTTTAAATGGCCTGGACTCCAAACATCCTGTGTCCTAGCAGGCTGCACAATTAGTGTGTCGTAGAGGTGGGGATGGCCACTTTGATAAGATGGTAGTTACGTTTTAGAAACCTGTGTTGAGGGGCCCCCCTGGTGGTGCAAGGAGTTGAGATACAGCACTATGAAGCTGTCCACAGCCACTGCAGTGTTAGTTCGATCCCCGGCCAGGGAGGTAACCCACATGGCGCAGCAGACCTCTCCTGCTTCGCCCACTGCCTCCCCTCAGCAGTGCATTTCAGTGATCTGCCTGTTCTGCTCCCCATTCTGTCTCTGGTGAATCTTCTTACACGCCCCCCCACACCTCTGGCCTGTACCCCAGTTCTTGTATGCATAAATAAATAAATCTTAAAAAAAAAAGAAACCTGTGTTGAGAAGGATTCTGATTGCATCCAACTGTAGCAGGAGAGAGTGCTGTATCATTAGCTGTGTCTGACTGACCTGGCATGAAAGTAGGGAAAGCCAGTATGCATGTTACTGTTGATTCCCTGAATCAAGAGAACAAGCTAACTGGAGCATGTTCGTGGATTTCCTACTTTTTACCAGACACTGTTAAACTCCCTGTGTCTATGTGTGTTTGGTGGGAGGATTGAATACAAAAGAGTGCAAGCTATAGTTCTTGTCCTCAAGGAGTTACAGTCTCAGATATAAAAAAACGGCAAGTCATATATTAGATCCAATGCCCTACTGAGTGAACATCTCAGACCAGCAATGCCCCCAGACAGAGAAAGAAGCTAGTGCAGTGGGACAGGGTATCAGGAGTGAACTGAGCCTGGTGTGGAAAGATGGGTGGAGTGAACTGAGCAGGGGACATTTCAAGTCTTGGCTTCGGAGGGAGTTTCAATGGATCAAGTCCTTCCTGGGATGGAGGTCTTAGGAATGATGGTAGTTTTTATGTCCCTCAGGGGACACCCGCTCAAGCGAGATGCCAGAGCTCACCTCCATGCATACACTCTTACTGCGGGAGCACAACCGACTGGCCACGCAGCTCAAGCGCCTGAACCCCCGCTGGGATGGAGAGAAGCTCTACCAGGAAGCCCGGAAGATCGTGGGAGCCATGGTCCAGGTAGACAGTTCTGAGCACTGGTGATGCCAGGGTTGGGGCAGGCATCCCAACTGTGCCACCTTGGACAAGTTAATTCTCACGAGCCTCAGTTTCTTCATCCCTGATGCTGTAAGGATAAAAGGACATATAAGAAAATACCTGGGAAGTGCTCAGTGCCAAACAAGGGTTACCAGCTTCCCACCCCCTCCACCCCAGGCACTCTCCTCCCTTTCTTCTGCCCTGTCTGTTGTGAATGGGATAGTGAGGGTTAAACAGGTGAGTCTAAAGTGATTGGTGCAGAGCAGTTGTTCAGTAAATGCCTTTCCTTTCCTTTCCTTCATGTCCTTGTCACCCTCAGCTCCTTTACATACCTGCCCATTCTTTCAGATGTTATTACCATGCTCACCCAATCCCTGTATACTTGCTTATCTCTGGACAGTGATCCTGGTTCTCCTTCCCAGTTGATGCCCCAAAACCCCCATTCCTGGCCCAAGACACACACACGCACATACACACACACACACACACACACACACACACCCCTTTTTCATACTCCTATATTCTGGAGCAGGAGAGAGTTGCAGGTACTGAGGGTGACTGATTGCATTAAAAACTTAGATGAGCTTCATTGAAACCTCAAAGGAAATTCCAGAGTCTGGAGTCTGATGTGACTGTTCCATATCTTCTTTTCTCTCTGGGGGAAATCGTCTGGTGGTGGTGGTGGTGGGGGTTTCCCCTTGTGGCTGTCCCTCTTTACACAAGCATATATCGAACCCCACCCTGAACCAGGCACTTGCTGGCACTGAGTAATTTCTAGAGAAATGAGATAAAGCCCTTGTTCTCAAGGAGTTTATAAATTAGTAGGATAAATGAAACATTAATAACTGAAGGGCAAGGGAGCTATTGCAATGACTGGCAAAGTGCTTTGTTATGTAATCTGCTAAGGCAGAGGCACTATAATTACCCTAATTTTCATTTGAGGAACTGGGGCTCAGAGAGGTAAGGACTGATCCAAGGTCACACAGCCAGAAAAAGTAGAGGTCTGTTCAGCCTCTCTGTTAGGCCCAGACCCAGCGGTACAGATGGTAATTCCCTGGCCACAGACAGATGTTGGAGGGGGCTCCCACAAGTCGGGACTACAGCCAGGTGAGTGGAGAGGTCATCCTGAGTGATTTTTCTTTAGATTATTACTTACCGGGATTACCTGCCCCTGGTGCTGGGGCCTGAAGCTATGAAGAAGTACCTGCCCAAGTACCGCTCATACAATGACTCGGTGGACCCTCGCATCGCCAATGTCTTCACCAATGCCTTCCGCTATGGCCACACCCTCATCCAACCCTTCATGTTCCGCCTGGACAGTCGGTACCAGCCCGTGAAGATCAACCCCCGAGTTCCACTCAGCAGGGTCTTTTTTGCTTCCTGGAGGGTAGTGCTGGAAGGTGAGCCTGACCCAGTGGACTGGCAGCTGAGTGGGGTGAAGGTGGGCTTGGTCACCAGGAGCCAGCGGCAAGAGAGGTCATCTTTCTGTCTTTGGAGGTCTGATCTGGCAACCAACCTCAGTTTATCAAACCACTTTGCATCTCATATTAAAGAGTCGGGTGGAGAGGCCTTTTCGGGAGGAGTTCCTTTGGTTTTTTTTCCGCAAAGAATTAGTTATTTATGCATAGAACTGGGGTGTAGGCCAGAGGTGTGGGGGCTGGTGAGAGGATTCACCAGAGGCAGAGTGGAGTGCAGAAAAAGCGGATCTACTGAAATACACTGCTGAGGGGAGCAGTAGGGAAGGCAGGAACGGTCTGCTGCGCCATGTGGGTCAGCTCCCTGGCTGGGGATCAAACTCAGGCCATAGAGATGATGGAGCTGAGACTTAACCCCTGTGCTACCAGGGAGGCCCAGAGCAGGTTCTTTTCTGCCACACACTGTGATGGTCTCCAGTGACCTCAGACTGCCACCTTTCAGTGACCCAGGGGGCTAAGGGCTGGGAGCAGCCAACCTTGGCAGTCTCAATGGCATAATCCCCTGAGATTTCAATGCCCACATGAGGACCTGCCCGCTGGGCCACCTTAGCACCAGGAGCTGCATGTGCCCAGCCCTCTGTGCCTAACCCCGTCTTGGACTTGTTCCTGACTTCATATTGAGCTCTCGTGCTGAGTCAGGTCCTTCCCTCAACCTTGCTCCTCTTGCCCCCAGGTGGCATCGATCCCATTCTACGGGGCCTCATGGCCACACCTGCCAAGCTGAATCGCCAGAACCAAATTGTGGTGGATGAGATCCGGGATCGGTTGTTTGAGCAGGTCATGAGGATCGGGCTGGACCTGCCCGCTCTGAACATGCAGCGCAGCCGGGACCATGGCCTCCCAGGTAAGGAGGCTGTAGGACTCCCTCCACCCCATCCCATCCCTTGCTAGTGCCTGCACATGTTAGTGCCCCAGCTGCCAAAGCTTCTCCCCACCCCAGCACCTTTCTCTTAGGAAGCAGTCTGAGGTCCGGCCCCTACCCTCACTGGGCCTTCCTGGTCCATTTTTAGCTCCACCCAGCCTCTCCCCCATTACTATAACCCTCAAATGTGAATATCATCATGCTGACAACAATACCCTTACTCTCCACTGATGTTCCCTCTCCATTATCACTCCATCTTGCTTCATTTGAGGGGAAGAGAGTTTTATCACTTCCATTTTGCTGCTGAGGAAACAGACTTGGAGAGATTCAGCACCTGTCCTGGTTCTCCAGCCAAGACAGTGACAGAGCTGGAATTTAAACCCAGATCAGCCTAACCCCAAAGCCTGTGCCAACATTACACGACAGTTGAATCTTCCAGACACACAATACTCCTAACAGGTCAGAGGTCTCCAGTAAGATGTCCCTGTTCTTCGTCCTGGCAGGAGATATGGCCATTTCAGATTTGCCTTAGGGAGGAAAGGCAAGGGAGAGGCCAGCTGTCCTGTTGGCTTGAGTGGAGGATTCAGGATTCTTAGGGATTAATAGCCTGGGATAAGCCCCTCTGTGCCTCCCCTCTCATGCACCACTGTGTAGGGCCTTGGCATGCTGGGAAGGTGGGTTTTCTGGGACCCACCCCCAGCCATTCTCCCCTCCTCCCCTGCAGGGTACAACGCCTGGAGGCGCTTCTGTGGGCTTACACAGCCCCAAACTGTGGGAGAGCTGGGTACCGTGCTGAAGAACCTGGACCTGGCCAGGAAGCTGATGGCGCAGTATGGCACACCCAACAACATTGACATCTGGATGGGCGGCGTGGCCGAACCCCTGCAGAGGCGGGGCCGTGTGGGTCCGCTTCTCGCCTGCCTCATCGGGACCCAGTTCAGGAAGCTGCGAGATGGAGATCGGTGAGGCAGCAACCAAGAGGCCTGGGCCCCCTCTGGGGTGGGGGCTGATTCTGAACTCAGGGCCCCAATCTCCTTCTATAAAATGACGGGCTGGAAGGAAGCTATGATCATCTAGTGTGTTCCAGGAAGCCTTGAGATCATCCCTAATGTGTTCTTAATTTGTTGGGGTTACAGCAAAGAGGCACCTGAACCCCTGGTTGTGGACAGGGAAGATAGAAGAAGGGCCATTCTTAACTATTTCTGGCAGTTTCAGGGTTCAATGGAGCTGTCTATCACTGCCGAACAGGCCCATCCTTATTCCTACCCTTATGCATCTGGTGTCATTTTGTTGTGAACCTGACATTTCTCATACCCAGTTCTCACCTACATTAGTGGTGTCCAGGTCAGGGCATGCAGGCAGCTGAGCTTTACCCTGCGGTGAATGGGATTTCATTTGTTTACTCCCCATGGGCTGCCTGAGAGCACGGGACTCACCTGTGCTGCAGAGCGGAGTCTGTTGTGATCCCCTAGCATCCAGGGAGCAGCTCAAGCCAGCTGATGCCCAGGAGTGCCTCAGGTACTATGTCTGCGGGTATCCCCTTTGCAGGTTTTGGTGGCAGAACAAGGGGGTGTTCAGTGAGGCACAGAAGCGGGCGCTGGCCACGATCTCCTTGCCCCGCATCATCTGTGACAACACAGGCATCACCATTGTGTCTAAGAATAACATCTTCATGTCCAACACATTCCCTCGGGACTTTGTCAACTGCAGAACACTCCCTGCGCTGGATCTGACACCCTGGAGTGACAAGGCCTAGAGGCTGGGTAAGGGGATTCAGTAGTGAGGTGAAGGCTGGGCCTACCTGGGCTCAGGTGGAACCAGAGATCACCAATCTTGTTCTGGAAGATGGCTGAGAAAATGAATAAACATTCACACGTGTGTGCATGTGTGTGCACTGTGCAATGTATATAAATTGCATTTCATGTGTCACCTGTGAACGTTGGCAGCAGTGTTTGGGGTGATGTGTATGTGTCATTTACGTGTGTTTGCTGTTTATATGAATATTAAGTATACAGAGGGCAGCAAGAGCAGATTGGTGAGGAGCACAAGCTCAGGAGCCAGATCGTTTGGGTTCAAATTCTGCTGCTGCAGCTCACCAGCTGTGTGACCTTGAACAAATGACTCAACCTCACTAAGCCTGAGTTTTTGTCTTTGCAAATAACATAGCTCCTGAGCAGGCCTATTTGCACTCTCTAGTTGTTCCTTTAGGGGGCGCTACATACTTGCCTGGCACTGCTGGGCATGAGAAACAGACACCATTTCTGTCTATGGCTATTATACCTTGACAGTGGCCTGGTTAGCAGAGATAGACTGGCGAACCCCAGGGGAAGGGCCATTAGCAGTGAGGCTGTGCATGTGACTGAGTGATGGCCTTAGGTGAGCCAGGCTCAGTCCATGGCTCCCCTTTTTCTTCCTTACCTTGTTCTCTTACTTATTCACAGGCACCCCCCTGGAGAGGAGCTGGGGCCCACTGGTCCTTCTCTAGCATCTGTTTGTAACTGATGTTTATGATAATAAAACACCTCTGACAGGATCTTCTTTTGTTTGGATCTGCAATGGGGCTGGGGCCTCAGCACGAGGCTTGCTCTGGGCTCTGAACTGAACAGTGGTCTGTGCCTTGGGTCCAGTGCTTTCTGAAGTGACAGTTTCCAGGAATCCTCCTTTGGCTTTGAACATGCAAAGACAGTTCTCAGAAACTCAGGGGACAGGCTAAGCTGAGCAGACCTTCCTCCATCAAAAGAATTATGACCATCAAGCCCTTATGCGCGTTCTCTGCTGTGGCACATAATTGCTACAAGCTCACTCTGTGTTGGGTCTGTGCCACGTGCCAACAAACTTGGGGAGGTGTAATAACAGGGTAGGCCCTCCCCAGGTGATGGGGGTCTCTGGGCCCTGCCTCCCTGCAGCCTGGCAGAGTGGTCCAGAGGCCCTCAAGACTGTAGATGCCTTCTGAGCCCTGGATTCCCGTGGCCAGGTCCTCAAAGTAGGGACAGCAGATGGCTGGGAAGAGGGAGGGGAAGGAGTGTATTTCCCTAATAATCTTGCCTGGAACTTCACCCTTGTATCTGACTGGTGATTCCCTTTCCTTCTTTCTGTTCTTCCCACGTTTGGGGAGGGGCACTGGCCGCTGGGGAGCCTAAAGTGTGGAGGGTGCTGGGTAGCAGGATGGCGACATTCCTCTCCATTTTACTAGGAGGGGAGGGGTGCCAAGGAGGTGGAAGCACACATCAGAGACCTCAGAGGCTGGGATGCTCTTCCCTCAGCCCGGAACTCCATCCTCACCCACCAGTCAGGGGATGTACAGGCCTCAGTCTCCCTGACCTTACCTGGAGGGGCATTTCCTCTCTCTCTCTCTCTCTCTCTCTCTCTCTCCACAGATCCTCTTTGATTTCCCAACACACACGCACACACACACATACACACACGATTTTCCTCCTCTCCCAACCATCCTTGTGTTTCCTTTTCCTTTTTCCTTCCCCCTCCCTTTTACCCTCAAAGCCTTGAGGTTATTCATTCACGTCTACTAGTTTTGAAAGTGTTTTACATTGCCAAATATGTGATATGTGAATGTCCAATATTTGTTTTTTATCATCCCAACTTCCTTTGCTGCATATAATTCTTTCAAATTCCTTCTCTTGTTGACAATGGCTGTATTTCATCCTGTCTTATGGCTGTATGAGGTGATGGGTCATTTTAAGAGAAGAACACATGACTATGCTTTGGGTAGAATATTCTGGAGTTGCCCCTTCAAAGGTCTCCCGGGCTCCAAGGGTTACCTGAGAAGAAGAGGGTAATTCCCGGAAGGCCACCAGAAAGGAAGTTAACTTAGCTGTAGGGGAATCCAGGCTTGTTTTTCCTCCCTATTTGATTCCTTCCTACCACCCCAGGCCCTCTTTCTTGTCACTCCATGGCTATTGGTTCTTTTTCTAGGAGCCCCTCACCTCCTCCTCTCTCTGAAATCCCACCAAACCATACCCCACCCCTATAGACTCCTGTGCATGACATTTAGAGATGAGACACGTCTGAACTATAAACATCGAGTTGCTTATTTGTCAGTGGACCCAAGACCAGCCTTCTGGAAAGGAATAGTGTCATAGCCAACATCTTTAGTCAATCGTTTATTGAGCATTTACTGTGTGCTGAGCAACATGAGGGGTGCCACGGAGACACTGGGAAGCAGTCACTGTTCCTGCTCAAGGAGCTTACAATCCAGTTGGAGAAGACAGAGGAGACATAAGTGAGCAGAGGCCCCCACAGCCCCAGCCTCAGCCTCAGCTTCAGGCAAGACTTGTTCAGGGAGAAGATGGGTGACATTTGGCAGGCTAGACTGGAAGGGCCTCTCAGAGGGTCTAGTCCTGGTAGAAAGAAGGACTCGCACAGGCAGAGGGGATGGGGAGCAGGCAGTGGATTCAGTGGAAGATCTGAAAGGCCCAGGTGGCTGGCCTGAGCTTGAGTGAGGGATACGTGCGGCGAGTGTAGACAGACCTAGCTGAAGAGAAGGGCTGGGGCTAGGGTGTGGAGCACTAAGGTACCAGGCCACTGAACTTGCTTGAAATGACATCATGGACCAAAGGAAGCTCTACTGCACAGTGTGGGAGGCTGTGAGGCCCAGGCCCTTAACTTTCCACTGAGGCCCAGGGTGAGAGGTCCAGCTTGTCGATGGCTGAGCAATCCACAAAACCTTGAGGGTAGTTGTTGGCCCGAAATGGGTCCAGTGGAACCTTGGTGATGCGGGTGTTGTCACAGACAAGGCGTGACAAGGACATCTTCCGCAGAGAGTCCCGCTGCTTCTCAGTGAAGACCCCAGGGTTCTCCCACCAGAACCTGCAGGGACACAAATAGGGTCTCTCCATGCAACCCAGTGGTTGGTCTCTCCCCACTCAGTCAAAGGGGAAGGAAGGAGGCCACTGAAAATATACTGAGTCCTCAAGATGTTGCAATGCCCACCTTGGGCCCTCCCTTGCCCCCCCATTCCCTCCTCTTCCCTCCCTTATCATCTCCCACCCTCCCCTATCCTCCCCTGCCCTCGTCTACCTTTCCCTGCCGTCCCTGCTAAGCTTTCACTTGCCTGTCTCCATCACGGATCTTCTGGAACTGCTTCCCCAGGAGGCAGGCCAGGAGAGGCCCCACTCGACCCCGTTCTACCAGGGGTTCAGCGGTGCCCCCTATCCAGATGTCAATGTTGTCAGGGGTCCCATAGAGATCCAGTAATTTCGTAGCTAACAACTTGTTCTTGAGCACCACATCTAGCTCCTCCAGGGTCTTCGGCTGTGACAGGTCACAGAAGCCTCTCCAGGAGTTGTACCCTAGGTTGGAGATGCTGAAGTTTTTCATCCCAAGGACTTCTCAGAATAGCCCGCCACCCCCCCTCCACCCCCAGGACATGCCCACTACAGCGCCATCAGCCCAGAAAGTCTGGAATCATAGCCTCTGGGACAGGGAGGCAGGGACCTACTACTTTTTATCTGTGGCACTTCAGTCTCCAGAGGGCTAATCGGTTATGTGGTTCACATATGTAAACTGAAGAACAGATATGTTAAGTAACTTCCCTAAGGTCACATAAATTGAAATGGAACAGCTGGGATTTGATCTCAGCAGTCCGGCTCTTAACCAAAATTGACATTGCTGAACAGTGCCAGAGTCATCAGTTTCTCTCTATTATCTTTTTCTTAATATTTTCAAGACTTTTCAGCTGGTTTTACAAATCAGTTGTTGATTCCTTGTTCTTTTGCAGACAGTACCAGATGAGTCCTCTCATCTCTGCACTAGGAAGAATAGAAGATTCCGTTTCACAGATGAGTAAAGTGAGTTTTGGAAATGGGCACCCCTGCCTTCTGTTTTAGAACTGATCAGATCCTCAGGGCTATAGAATAGAGTCCCCTGGGGCCCCAGAAAGTAGCTAAAAGTTTCCCAAGCCTGCCAGCCCCTGGGCCCACTCACCGGGCATGCCATGGTCTCGGCAGCGCTGTATGTTGATGGCAGCCAGGTCAAAGCCATGGATCCTGTGAGTGGGCTGGAAAAGCTTGTTACGCACCTCTCCTGTCATCATTTTATTCTGGTTGATCAACTTGGACTTCTTGGCCAGCAGGCCCCGCACCAGAGGGTCGATTCCACCTGCAAGGGAGACTCAGAGGCCATGCTGGGGGAGGGGGAAGAGAGGAGCCCTCCCCCCACCAGACATTTCCTCTTAGGTGAAAGTAGGGCCAAAAGAACTTCTCGGGTGGGAAAGAGGAGAGAAGAGCTTCCTGCAGCTGCAGGGGTTCTGGGGACAGTGTGGGGTGACAGTCTAGACTACCCACCCTGGGGTGGAAGATAGGGCCATTGGTAGGATGATAGCACACATAAGCTTCAGGGTTTTTCGAGTTCTAGTTCAGAAAGTTGGCGCTTTTCCTTTCACGTGTCCCCCTGAGGAGCATGGGAAGAGAAGTCACAGCCTTGATTTTGTTAAGCCTTAAGTAAAGTCAGTCTCAGCACAGCACAGCCCAGGGAGTTAGGGGAGCTATTCCCCACTGTTGGCATTTAATGAAGAAGGAAGCTCTGGAGGAGAGCAGAAAAGAGTCATTTCTTTCAGAGAAATCATAAAAACCTGAGGTAGGGAAAACTCAAGTGCCCACAGGTCAGAGGAGGAAAGATATAATAATCAATATTTATTGACCACCTCCAGTATGTCAGAACCATTGTGGGCGGTTCTACAAGTGTATCTCATTTAATTTTTTTTGCAAATCCTAGTGAGATAAGATTTGTCTTATTGTCCCCATTTCACAGATGAGGAAACTGGGGTACATTTACTTGCCCAGTGTCACACACAAGTGCTTGGAGTATGGCTTCCAAGCCAGGTCCCCAGAAGGAGGCTGCAGAGTGAGATAGCCAGGTGGTGGCACTTCCCTGAAAGGACATACCATCTTTGACCATCCTCCAGGTGTTGAAGAAGAGGGTGTGAATGGGGAGCTCTGGTTCTGGACCCCATGGTTGATAATTCTCATCCAAGCGGGACACAGTGGGGGGGATCTCCAAGTGGCCAAAGCGGAAGGCGAAGGTAAAGACATTGGAAATCTGAGGATCTATAGATTCATTGTAGCCTTGGTATGGAGGGATCCACTTCTGCATCTCATCACCTAGCACAATGGGTAGGTAGTCCCTAAAGGTGATAACCTGGAAAGAGAAACAAGTCACACAAGATGAGTCGAGAAGACAAAAACCTCTGCAAAAAGAGGGTGGAGAGAAATGCAGTCAAGAGGGATGAGCAACCAAAAATCAAGCATAGCAACTGGATGGCATATGTGTCCACAGGTTCCCTTCCTATCGCAATGGCAGACATCACTAATTGATTCTCCTGCTGAGCTATCATGATTTGTTTCTACACGGATGGGCTCTACTAATCATTTGAATTTGACACTTGAGAAATGCTCTCTTTTTTTTTTTAATATTTTATTTATTTATTTATTTATTTATTTATTTATTT